AAGAAAAAAAGGCTGAAAATCAGTCAAATTAGGGTAAAAATCCTGATATATGTGGGACTGGTCACCACAATAGGGGCCTACCGTATATGAAATTGGCAAAATGGTCTCCGTAACAAGGGCCTATACAAGTACACTGACGAATTAAACAATGAATTTAGCCACACCACCAAACCACTAATGCCTGCTCTCCAAAAAAAAAAACAAAAAAAAAAAAAAGCAGCTGCAGCATGCCTTTAGTTGACTACATAACCAACTGAACCGGCTCAGCTGCTAAGCTGCATTATAATCAAAACCACCCAGCACATGGATGGCCAGGAAAAGGGCTTCATTGCGTGTATTTGGCAATCCAAGGATGATCTGAAACAAAACCACACAAGGATTTGAACAAAGATGAGCAAGAATGCCATGAACGCTGAGTAAAAGCAACAACACAAAGCACAGAACTCCCAGACAACCCACACACAACATTTCACTATTAACAACCCCAGACGCTCACACACAACTCCGTTTCCCACCATTCACAACCCCACCCAATACGAAATGCTCCTAGAAAACTCTCGCAGACAATCTCTAGGCCTGAGCTAACTCACCAAGAATCTTCTTGGCGGAAATTCGAGTGGAGGCATCCTTATCAAGCATGGCGCGCACGAGGCTCTTGGCGTCCTCGCTCACACCCTCCCAGTGGGGGCCGCGCATGCGCACGGGGCCGTGCAGAATCGCCTCCTGCACGGTGCGCCCGAGCGACGCAAAGAAGGGCGTGCGACCCGACAGCATGATGTGCAGCACCACCCCCACACTCCAGATGTCAGCAGCTGGGCCGTACGTCCCCGAGAGCACCTCTGGCGCCATGTACTGCAGCGTGCCCAGCTCCTCCGTGCACGGCTCACCTGAGGGGTGCAGAGCGATGGGGAGGTGTGGAAAGGCGAGGTTGTGAATAAGATGGGGGAAGGTGCACAAGACAGAGAACAGAACACACAGGAAGCGGGAAGAGAAGAGGAAGGGGGAAATGAAAGGAGAGAGCTCCCGAATGCACACCTCGGGTGAACGTGGCGACGCCGAAGTCAGCGAGCTTGACATGAATCTCGTCCTCGTCAGCAGCACCACCCACGCCCTTCGCAGGCGCAGCCATGATGCCTCCCAGCACCGCCGCGGCCGCGCCCATATTCCCCTTGCTCAGCGTGTCCCCGCCGCTGGCACCATCTTTCTGCCCCTTGAGCAGAATGTTCTCCGGCTTCACATCCCGGTGCACCACACCGGACACGTGGCACCACATCAGCGCCTGCACCACCTGCCGGCACGCGATCGCAGCCGTCCGCTCCTGGAGCCGGCCCTCGTCCTTCACGCGATCGAACAAATCACCGCCGGAGCAAAGCTCCATGACGATATGCACCGCCTCCTCATCCTCGCACGTATCCTCAATCTTCACCACATGCGGATGGCCCTTGAGCGCTTCCATCACGGCCACCTCGTGGCGAATATCCGCCGCGTCTTGCATGGCGACGATGTTGCTCTTGAGGATCGTTTTGCACGCCAGCACGCGGTTCGACCCGCGCTCCACGCACTTGCGAATCACACCGAACTGCCCGCTGCCCAGCTCCTGCGGCGCGAGCACGAAGCGCCGCAGCAGCGACGAGTACGGCCGGCCGAGCACGAAGTCGCACGGGCGCAGGTGCTGCTGGTTCGTCTCGTGGAACGCTTGCAGCAGCTGTAGCTTCTGCTGCTGCCGGAGCAGCTGCAGCTGCTGCTGTAGCCGCTGCTGCTCGTCCGCCCACTGCGGCCTCTCCTCCGCGCGCTCGATCTCCGCTTGCCTCTCCGCCGGCATCTGGCGCACGTCCGCGTCCGCCGCCAGCTGCTTGCGCGGGGTCGCACTGACAACGCTTTCGGTTTGCACCGTTGTCTTCTTGTGCGCGTTCCGCGCCGCGTTGCGCGCCTCCTGCAGCGCGAACTCGCCGACGTAGGCGTCGGGCGCGTCGCCGAAGTACGACGAGAGGAAGTCGCCCGCCACTGACGCAGCTCCGTTCATCACTCCGCCGTGCTCCTTGCTGCTCGGAGCCTGCTTGACTCGCGTCGACTCTCGCGACTCGCGCGGCTTTTCCCGCCCGCCTTCGTACGGCAGCACGCTCCAACGGTCAAGTTCCACGGCCGACGCGCTCGCCCGCATCGCAACCCGGCCCTTGCTACTCTTCTTGCCGCCGCTGCCGCCGCTGCGGCCACTCCGGCTGCTCCCGCTCGAGCCGAGGCTCCCAACGACGATGTTATCCGCGCTGAAGCTCGATGCGGGCGCGCTGCCCCCGCTGACGGCGACTGGTGGAAGAGCAGACGGCGGCAGCGGCGCATCCATGCCGACGGGCGCATCAGCGAAGGGCGCGTCGCCGAGAGACAGCCCGTGGCGGTGCTGCGCCTTGCGCGCATAGCGCGTATGCGCGGCCTTGGGGGCGCTGCTGGGGTGCAGCGGCGGGGAAGACGCGTCCACTGCGGGGAGAGAGGCAACGCCTTTCTTTTGTCGCGCCGCAAGCAGCAGATTCTCCGAAACCGACCCCAGCTGGTTCCACAGTGAGGGCGACGTGGACCGGTGCATGCTGCCCCCCCCGGGTGCGACCTCCACCACCACCCCTTCGCTCCCGCCCTCACTCGCCTCCTCGTCACCCCAGCACCGTTCCGGGGTCGCCGGAAGCGGCGCAAACTCCCTCGATCCCACGAGCGGCATTTCTCCGCTGTTAGCGGGGGACCATTGGTTCGCGCCGAACAACATCTCCTCCGCCTCGAGGAGCGCAATATCCCCGCTGCTCGCAGGGGACTTCGGGGGCCGCATCAGCGCCATCTCTCCGCTGCTCGCGGGCGAGGGGCAGCCGTCGCGCTCGTTGAATCGCCGCGGCTTCAGCGCGAGGGGTGGCTTCTGGCGACGCGCGGCGCCGGCGATGGGTCGGGGCACGGCGCCCCCTTGCAGCGCGCCGAGCTGCCCCCACGCGGCGGCGTCTGCGCCACGCACCTTCCGCGCCACGGTCTGCGATGCGTCCTTCACGATAGTAACCGCCGCGCTGCCTCGACTACTTCTGCTGCCGCCCCCTCCGCCGTCCCCGTCGTCGCCGCTCTCCTCTCCGTCGCTCCTCCGTATGTCACGGCGCATCTCATGGTGAAGCAGACGCGGTAGCTCTGGTGCGGGTGCCACTTGCGCCGCTTTACGAGTCGCGGGAGACCCACAAATCACAGAATGGTCTGCGCCGGCGCGAGGGCTGGCAATAGGCGTCTCCCTGCGGCTGCTCGGACGCCGCCTGCGACGCATGAACACGCCGAACGCGCCTTGGCACGACACGGAGCTGCTGCTCGTGGTGGTGGAGCTCGAGTCGCCGTCGTCACACTGCGATAAAGTCAGACTCGATTGGCTCTCCAGCTCGCGGAGATCGTTTATCGACGCGGAATCCGCCATCTGCCGTTCTCCGCACGAGCTGCTATGCTTAAGGTTGGGGACCCCGGACTGCGCGAACGATGTGTGCAACTCCTGCGACGCGAATCGGCGATGGTGTGCGAAGTGAGACTCGGCGACCCGCGGCGACGACGCAATACCGTGACTCGTTGCCTCGTTAAGGTGAGCAGAAACGTCGCTGGGTTGACGGTGATGGCTGTGGTGGTGGTCAGGTTGGTGGGAATGGGGGTGTTGGTAGTGGTGGGATGTGTTCGACAGCACCTGATGCTCCCAATACTGCGAGCGAGGCGGCTCGTGGATAAAATCGACCGCTACTGACGACGACATTCTAGTAGTCGCGAAGATATCACTTTTCGCGATGAAGGACTAGGGACCGCTCGACGTCTGGGATTCACCCACTAAAGCGGCAGAATTAGAAGCACAAGGAAACGCGAGAACGAGCGAATTAACCAGGACACGACGTCTGCTGCTATGATGGAGTCTCTCCAGCGTAGGTCACAGACGGTTGGCACAAAATGTGAGATTCAACGTGAACACAGGGAGGTCTAGGGTGTGGAATGGCTGATTGGAGTGTGACGGAATGGTGGTTTGGGTTGGGGCGGTGGTTGAGTGAAAAGTCACTGGAGAAGAGACAGCCATGGTTTGGAACAGAATGGAATTGGAGCGGCGGAGGGGAAGGGCGGGATGGAAATGGGGTTTGGTTGGAGGTGTAGCGGGACGGGCAGCAAGCAACAGCAACAGCGGCTCAAGTGTGCGATGAAGACGTGCTGTCGCCTTCCTCGCTTCCCCATTCGTTGCTGTTCTGCGCCAAGTGCAACTGCTTGGCTGGAAAAGAAAGATCCAAATCAAGTGCACTTTTCTCCGCTCCCTAGCTGACAAGTGGCAGTCACGTTAAACTGGAGCATTTCCTCAGGTCAGTCTTGCCAAAGCAAAACGATTGTGGAATCTTTCGATAGTAAAAATCCCATGCCATGCCATGTCAGAGACGTTTTGATCACGGAAACTGCGAACAAAATGTGCGGGACAGTCATCTGACACCATCAAATGATCATTCTGGGGCAAAACAATATTTCGTTCGAGGTAAAAGGGCAAACTGACTAATGAATTACGTGTACGGCTACGTGTACACCTCCAGCGTTGTTCTGAAAGGGCAACAGTAACGTCCTGGAAACTTTGGGTTTGAGGCTCCCCCGATTCCAGAAACACAAGCACCTTGTTAAAGCCCAAGACCTGAATTATAAAAAAAAAAATGGCAAACTGTGCACAGTTTGCCTACCGAACCCACAGTTGACCTCCCGAGCCAGGCTGGTAACCAGAAAACGTCGCGCCACAAAATGACCGAGTCGTAGGGCAGAACAGGTCTGCTTGGCGAGAGTCCCAACCACCATTTCCTGAAGGAGGGTGGGCTCTGCCTGTGCACAGTTTGCAAAAAACTGTAATTCAGGAATGCTTGTGCGGCTAGTACGCGAAACTCGTAGATCATAGGCCAGAGGCAATTTCCTACCTACCACACTTAGTTTACCCTCATCCCAAGCGTGAAAGGCGCGAAGCGCATAATATTCCACACCGCGGTGAAATGGTGAACCTCAATTCCCCTCACATCGTCCTCCCCGTTGACGCACCGTCGCCCCCGCTTCCTCTGTTTTCCCGTCGCCATTGCCCTCCCGTCGCCCTTACCCCTCTCCCCTCCCGTCGCTTCCTCGTCAACGTCGTCGAGCCTCATTCCGACGCTTTTTTCACCACTCCGACCACCCTCTTTTTCCGTTGTCGTGTCCCCACCACTCCCCACTCTCCTGACAGGCGCGCCCACGTTTCCTTACTTGGGCATCGCCTTTCCGCAAACATCGCATTTGGCCCTATCGCTCACGCTTTCCCGCAACGTCGGTCACGCTTTCCCGCAACGTCGCTCACGCTTTCCCGCACCGTCGCTCACGCTTTCCCCGCACCGTCGCTCACGCTTTCCCCTTGTCGCCACTCACGCATCCTCCTGCCTTACCCCACTCCCGGGGACACCGTCGCTCGCGCCTTCCCCCACCTTCTCTCACGCTTCCCCGCTCATCGCCCAGGCTTCATCCCACCCTCGCCCACGCTTCACCCCACCCTCGCCCAGGGTTCCCCCCACCGTCTCCCATGCTTCCCCCCACCGTCTCCCATGCTTCCCCCCACCGTCTCCCATGCTTCCCCCCACCGTCTCCCATGCTTCCCCCCACCGTCTCCCATGCTTCCCCCCACCATCTCCCATGCTTCCCCCCACCGTCTCCCATGCTTCCCCCCACCGTCTCCCACGCTTCCCCCCACCGTCGCCCACGTTTCCCCCCACCCTCGCCCACGCTTCCCCCCACCATCGCCCACGTTTCCCCCCACCCTCTCATCCGCCCTTCATCTCATCCTCCCGTCCTCACATCCTCGTTTCCTCTCATCCTCCCGTCCTCTCATCCTCCTTTCCTCTCATCCTCCTTTCCTCTCATCCTCCCTTCCTCTCATCCTCCCTTCGTCTCATCTTCCTTTCCTCTCACCCACCCTTCCTATCACCCACTCTTCCTCTCATCCCCCCATCCGCCCCACCGTCGCCCACGCTTCCCCCCACCCTCGCCCACGCTTCCCCTAGACGGGACAGGGGAGTGGGGGAGGCGGGGCAGGGGGGGCAGGGGAGGCGGGGGGGTAGGGAGAGAGGGTGCAGGGATCCTCCTATCCCCTGTTCCACCCCCTGCCACACTTTCTCCTCCTGCCCTCCTCCCTTCCTCCGCATTCATACCCCTTCCTCCCTTTCTCCATCTCTCGCGTTGCGCTTTTTCTCCCCGCTGATATCTCTTCCCTTCCCATCGCGTTTGCGTCATCGTCGGTGGCAAGTACCGTCCGCCCTTCCACTCTCCATTCAGCCCTTTCTCCAAGCCTCTCTCCACCCTACCACTCTCCCACCCACTCTGTCTTTCATCCTCCTGCCCCTCCACCCTGCCGCCCTTTTTTTCAAGCTGCCACTTTCCGATCTTCCTGTCGGCCGCCTTTTCTGTCCGACCCACTTGCTACACCCTACTTGATTTCCTCACATCCTCCCATCCCCCCTTTCCCTTCCACGCCTGTACACTCCTCGCCTGTTTGTATATTCAAGGGGATTGCCCTTCGATTGTCATTGTTTCGTACAGTCCTTCCCAGCTGCTTCAACATACCGGTACCATATGACACATCAAATTTCATGGTTGATGACTAGTGGTATGACAAATAGGTAACCATGCCATGTATTGATGTTTATGCGTCTCATATTAAAACACTGTCGGCTTCAGAGCAGGGTTGCACATGGCCACAAAAAAGAAGTGGAACAAAGCATATAAAAGTTGTCAACAGTGGACAATAGGCACAATGCACAAAGCTAGGAGGTGGTAACTTTTCATCACATTAACTCATGGTGGTGGGCACCTGTCCAAGCATGGTTCTGTGATAGAACGGGGATGGAAGAGGGGGTATGGCAGATAAGCGAGGGTTGGATGTGGACGGGGCAGAGGGGTGAGAAAAAAAGGGGAAAGAGAGTGAAGACGGATGGGGGAGAAGAGAGTGAGGGGGTTGGGAAGAGAGTGTGCAGTGCGCAGGGGAGAAGAGAGTGTGGGGGGTGGGAAGAGAGTGTGCAGTGCGACGGGTGGGAAGAGAGTGAGGGGGGTGGGAAGAGAGTGTGCAGTGCGTAGGGGGGAAGAGAGTAAGGGGGGTGGGAAGAGAGTGTGCAGTGCGCAGGGGGGAAGAGAGTGAGGGGGGTGGGAAGAGAGTGTGCAGTGCGACGGGCGGGAAGAGAGTGAGGGGGGTGGGAAGAGAGTGTGCAGTGCGTAGGGGGGAAGAGAGTAAGGGGGGTGGGAAGAGAGTGTGCAGTGCGCAGGGGGGAAGAGAGTGAGGGGGGTGGGAAGAGAGTGTGCAGTGCGCAGGGGAGAAGAGAGTGTGGGGGGTGGGAAGAGAGTGTGCAGTGCGCAGGGGAGAAGAGAGTGTGGGGGGTGGGAAGAGAGTGTGCAGTGCGCAGGGGGGAAGAGAGTGAGGGGGGTGGGAAGAGAGTGTGCAGTGCGCAGGGGGGAAGAGAGTGAGCAGGGGGGAGGGGAGTGAGCAGGAGAGAAGAGATTGCGGGTGGGCAAGCGAGTGAGCGAGGGGGAGAGCGTGAGATGGAGAGAGTGAACGGCAATGGGAGGGGTAGTGGTGGCGACGGGCGGGAAGCGAGTGCGACGGGCGGGGGAAGCGAGTGCGACGGGCGGGGGAAGCGCGGGCGGGGAAGCGAGTGCGACTGGCGGGAAGCGAGTGCGACGGGCGGGGGAAGCGAGTGCGACGGGCGGGGGAAGCGAGAGCGACGGGCGGGGGAAGCGCGGGCCGGGAAGCGAGTGCGACGGGCGGGGAAGCGAGTGCGACGGGCGGGGAAGCGAGTGCGACGGGCGGGGGAAGCGAGTGCGACGGGCAGGGGAAGCGAGTGCGACGGGCGGGGGAAGCGAGAGCGATGGGTAGAGGAAGGGAAGGCGACGGGCGGGAGAAGCGAAGGCGACGGGCGGGAAAGGCGACGGGAGGGGGAATGTTGCGCGACGGGGTGGGGGGAAGTGAAGGCGACGGGGGGAGGGGAAGTGAAGGTGACGGGGGAGGGGAAGTGAAGGCGACAGGCGTGGAAAGCGAAGGCGACGGGCTGGGGTCCAGAAGGCATCGGGCTGGGGTCTTGGAGGCGCCATCCCACGCGGCTGCGATGGTGAAAGAGATCGGAAGCGTGGGACCTAGGGTAAGCGAGGGCGAGGAGAGAGGTTTACGCTTGGGCGAAGGGTCACGGTACGATATTCGCCGAGAGTTTACGCATCAGTTGCACCCTAAACCTGCATTTCGACACGAGCGAACACTATCTTTGTGCGTCGTCATCGAGATCCGCGTTACCCACATTCGTAAGCCGCCTCTGATTCCTCGCTATGTCTACAGGTATGCTATATGCCTAGTTATCTGCGTGCTATCCCAAACTGTGCACAGTTTGGGATGGACGCCCTTTTCTGGTTGTTGTGTGAGGGACCCCACCCATCACTCGAATTCTTGTACGCGACGGACTTTTGTCGCAATTTGGTTTCGCGAGTGAAAGTGGTTCGCACCCCAACCGAACCTCCGTCTGCCTGCCTTCCGAACCTAATTTTTCCCGTTGACTTCCGTTGAGTAATTCAGGTCTTGGGCTTTAACTTGTAAGAAGAAATACAGAAATGCAATCAAGATCAGGAACCTGCACGAACCTGGAATCTTGCAATTACTGTACAATGCTGCAAGCAACCAGAATAACCACTCTGAGAGTGCCAAGTGTACAGCGTATAGCATCACTCTCTAGTTTCGGCAGCAGTGTCCCTTGCTGCCCCCAGCCACCGCCACGACCACACTCGAAGCGAGGCACATTGACTGCTCACAGTCATTGCTGCCACATTTGGATCTGTCCAGCACAGTTCGCGGATTTCCGCGTGAAATTAATGAATTCCGTGTGGGAAGCTTCTGTTCCAATCCCAATCGTCGAAGTTGACGTGGTAATTGAAAGCACGATTGTGTGGACCAAAGCTACAGTTGTTGGTTCATCTGACGTTTTCAGATGGCGTCACTCAAAACATATGCAAACCAGCCCTCTTTGGTACAACTCCAGATACAACTGTCCCCTGATACCTTTGTTGTTTTCATTTGGTTTCTCTTCACAATATCAAAGTCAACAATTTTGTAGCAGGCCATCTTAAGCCGAAACAGATCTTACATTCACAGGTCATGATGCTCTGTGGCTCATGCCGGGTTCACACAGTGGGAAGCGGTTTTCGAACTATACTACCGTCCGTTTTGCACCAGGAATTCCAGCACCTAAGGATCAGGGACATTTCATACAGCACATCTGCAACCTGGTTGGTGGTAATTTTCTTTCTGAGACACCAGTTACCAACAATACCATTAAGAATGTTGGAAAACACGGATTTAAGCACGTCCGGGTGACGAAGTCGTTTTACCACTGTTCAATGCAGAGTGCATTGCCCATATCGCAAGTGGGCGCATGTATGCTAATGAGCGAAAGCGACCATCCGTGTCCCACCCCTCAGGGGTCTGAAACCAGTACCTGCCCATGTTTGAAGTCAGAGGGAGGAGGAAAAGGTGAGGAATGTACCTACCATGCCAGAAAAACCTGGAACCTCATCATATGTGGACATGGCTTGTCACAACACATCCCACCAATTGCACAACTCAGCATAGGTCATACTACCAACCATGCAATGCGACTCACCCTAGCTCATCCCAGCCCGCCAGGTGAATGCCCTGAGCCGTGCGAAAGGCCTGTGAGTGCATGCCCTGCAGGTCCCACGGACAGGATTGGTTGGGGTGGGTGGTCGGGTGGGGTGAGGATAGACATAGCACATGCATGTAAGTGTCACTCTCATGCCGTAAAGTGGATATGATCTTGGTGAAAGGTGGCATGAAGACATGTCATGCCATGCCATGCCATGCCATGCCATTCCATGCCATGCCATGGCATGAGCAAGTTGAAGGCACATTGTGCATCAAACCAAGTCAAGTTGCAAATGGTGCATGAGTTGAGCATGATGGCATGATGCATGAGTTAAGCATGATGGCATGGTGCATGGTGCATGGTGCATGGTGCATGGTGCTTGGTGCATGGTGCAGTTTCACCTCGTAGATCATTGTGGCAGCCAATCCGTACGTGACACCTGTCCACACCTCCCGCGATTGCAAGCACGTGTCGTCCACCTGGCAGAGCAGCAAAGTGAGGAGGAGAGTGTGGTGGGAGTGAGGAGCAGAGTGAGGAGGGTGAAGGACGAAGTGAGGAGAGTGGAGAGGAGAGAATGGGGCATGGAGATGCCCACCTGTCCAGATCCCACCTGTCCAGATCCCACCTGTCCAGATCCCACCTGCCCAGTCCAGTCCCCCACCTGCCCATTGGGTCGCATGCCATTGACGGCACCCATGCTGCCCCCCTCCAGCCGCATCACATTGTACCTGATACATGCCATGCGCCATGGCGTATGGGGCATGGGGCATATGGGGCATATGGGGCATATGGGGCATATGGGGCATATGGGCCATACGGGGCATATGGGGCATTTGGGGTATATGGGGCATTTGGGGCATTTGGGGCATATGGGGCATATGGGGCATATGGGGCATATGGGGCAGGGCATATGGGGCATATGGGGCATATGGGGCATATGGGGCATATGGGGCATATGGGGCATATGGGGCATATGGGGCATATGGGGCATATGGGGCATTTGGGGCATATGGGGCATTTGGGGCATATGGGGCATTTGGGGCATATGGGGCATTTGGGGCATATGGGGCATTTGGGGCATATGGGGCATATGGGGCATATGGGGCATATGGGGCATATGGGGCATTTGGGGCATATGGGGCATTTGGGGCATATGGGGCATTTGGGGCATATGGGGCATATGGGGCATACGGGGCATATGGGGCATGGGGCATATGGGGCATATGGGGCATATGGGGCATTTGGGGCATATGGGGCATATGGGGCATATGGGGCATATGGGGCATTTGGGGCATATGGGGCATTTGGGGCATATGGGGCATTTGGGGCATATGGGGCATATGGGGCATACGGGGCATATGGGGCATGGGGCATATGGGGCATATGGGGCATATGGGGCATATGGGGCATTTGGGGCATATGGGGCATATGGGGCATATGGGGCATATGGGGCATTTGGGGCATATGGGGGATTTGGGGCATATGGGGCATATGGGGCATATGGGGCATGGGGCATATGGGGCATATGGGGCATGGGGCATATGGGGCATATGGGGCATATGGGGCATATGGGGCATTTGGGGCATATGGGGCATTTGGGGCATATGGGGCATATGGGGCATATGGGGCATATGGGGCATGGGGCATATGGGGCATATGGGGCATATGGGGCATATGGGGCATAAGGGGCATATGGGGCATATGGGGCATATGGGGCATATGGGGCATATGGGGCATATGGTGCATGGGGTATATGGGGCATGGGGCATACGTGGAAACAAGGTCAGGAAAAGCAAGTATCCCCATTTACACTGCGCATATATTCAGTAAAATATCACCCCACCGACTATTGCCTGTCAACAATGATCCAGCATCACATGCATGTCTTGATGCCCCTGAAATACAGATGGTCGAGTCACTGAAATGCAGATAGCATCTACATGAGCCCCCCCACCCCACTCACTCAAAGATCATCTGCAGTGCTTTGCATGCCATGGTTGAGTCAAAGAGCGGCGGCAGACCACAGCTCCACAGGTACCTGCCTCCACACACGGAGGGGGAGGTGGGGTGGGGGGAAAGGGAATATGGAGAGGGGAGAAGGGAAGGGAATATGGAGAGGGGAGAGGGGAAGGGAATATGGGGAGGGGCCGGGAGGGACAACGAGTCAAAGAAGGGGGTAGACCACACATGGGAGCCGGAGGCCACAGCTCCACAGGTACCTGCTTCCACACACAGAGGGAGAAGGTGGGGGGGTGGGGGAGAGATACCAGGGCGGAGAGAGGAAGGAAGTGAGTGCTGAGACTAGCATCACCATTGCCACACAGTGACCCACCCCCCCCGACTGCCCTGACAGCTCAACCCAACAGCTCCCCTCCCCCCTGCACCTACCGCCACCCATCCCCATGCACACACCAGTACCCACCCTCCCCCCTGCACCCAACACACCCCCCCCCTCATCCCTGCACCCACCACTGGCCTGCGAGTTGATCCGCGTGAATGGAGTTGCTGTTGCTGCTGCTGCCGCTGTCGTAGTTGAAGTACCTGTGGGATGGAGGCGTGGGGCAATGGCAGGGGCACATGGGCTGCGGAGGAGTACATGGGGCAAGAGGGGCATCGGGGCATGCGTGGTGCTGCTGTTGCCGCTGCCGCCGCTGTCATAGTTGAAGTATCCGCGGGGTGGAGGGCATGGGTGCATGGGGCGAGAAGTGCAAGGGGTAAGAGGGGCATCGGGGCACGCGTGCTGTTACTGCTGCTGCCGCTGTCATAATTGAAGTACCTGCGGGGAGGCAGCAGCAAGGCAATGGAGGGGTGCATGGGGCGAGGGGTGCATGGGGAAAACGTGCGATAGAGGTGAGGGCGAGGGGACGAGGGGGAAACGGGAGGAGGGCGAGAAGGGGCGAGGGGGAGAGAATGCAGAGCAGCAAGGGCGAGAGGAGGCGAGGGCGGGAGGGGGTGAGGCCAAGACGGGGCGAGGGCAGGAGGGGGAGAGGGCGGGAGGGCATGTGGGTGCGAGTGTACGGACCTGCCATTCCAAAGCTTAGCGATGAACGCCTCCCTGCCCTGCCAGGACATACGGGATGTGCAGGGAGCGGCATTGTGAGACCATGCAGTGAGAGGGAGAGGAAGAGAGAGAGAGGAAAAGCAACGGTGCAGCGCTGCACAGTGGCACAGGTGCGCACATGTGCAGCAGCAAGTGGCTGACACAAAAAAGCACAAGGAGTTGTAAACACATGCAAGCAGTTGGCAAGAGGTAATGAACCCCTTTCCCCACACTAACATCCTACCTACGCAAACCCTACATCTGTCTCTGCCTCACTCTCCCTGGTCCCGCTCACTTAAGTTTGTTCCTCCCTTCTCCTCTTCCACCGCTGTTACGCCCTGCCACACCCACTAGCACTGCCTCTGCATGCAGCACTCACCCGCGCACACTGCTGCCGCCAGTACTGGGCGTACTTGGCCTCCCCCACTGCATCCGCCATGGCTGCTCCTGCCTGCAGTGCCGCCAGCCACAGCCCCCCACAGTACGCACTCACTCCGTGCACGGGCCTAGGAATAATGGAAAAAAAAGAAGATAGAATCAAGTCTGGAAAGGCTGTGGAATTGGATTTCCACTGCTGTGCAGGCTGCCATGCAGCGAGATGCCCACACAGCGCCATGCAGATCAGAAGGGCCCACCCAGAGACCGTTGACACGTGCTACATTGTTTAGCCGGCTAAAAATATGCCAGAGTGGGGATACAGGATGCTGAAACCAGATGTTGTTCGCCTGTCCCATACGAGGTACTTGAACACCAATCCACGGCCCATCAACAGGCTCAGCCTAAACCAGTTTGACTTCAATTCGGTGGAATGATTGCAACACAGCACGGTGCCATGCCATCCACCCCAGCCAGCACCAGTTACCATATGTCGGATCGGAGAAGCCATCGTTCCCAATCAGTCCTTCATTGTTTCGACGCACATTACCATGCCATATGGCATGGTGCCACACAACAACACACGCCATGCACCAGCTATCGTAGGTCTGATCGGGGAAGCCATCGTTCTCAATGAGCCCGTCGTCATCACGGTCAAACCTCTCCACTGCATCCATTGCTGCCACCACCCTCCTGCACCACTCACCTTTTCTTGCACTGACCTCTGCACTCACCTGCTCACACTGCTAGTACCATGCGATACCGCACACAACACACCAGTTATCGTAGGTCTGATCGGGAAAGCCATCGTTCTCAATGAGCCCGTCGTCATCACGGTCAAACCTCTCCACCGCATCCATTGCTGCCACCACCGCCGCCCACACCGCCCTGCAGAACCGCACGTTGCCTGTTGCTTTGTAGTCGCGACACACCTGGTGGCAGGGATTGAGGGGGCATAGATTGAAGGATCTGTTTCTTTCCACCTGCAAGATTGACCCACACCTGCAAGATTGACCCACACCGCCTTGCAGAAATGCCAATTGCCCGAAGTTGCGGTAAACCAAGGTTTCAAAGGTCGATCCAAGGAGTGGCATGCATTGGAGAACCTCTGAGCCAGCGAATCAATGGAGAAAGCAGATGAGACAAGGAGGAAGGACGGGGCCTTGATGAGATAAGGACAGTGGGGACGTTCAGTTGAGGGCGCACCTGCAGCACGAACTTGCAGTTGAGATCTTTCCACTGGGCCGTGTCATGGATGTTGTATGCATTGGGGAAGACCCATGGGTCATGGCAGCCCAGGTCGTGCGGCACACTGCCCTGCATCTTATTCACGCCCGATGCCCCGTCCGCTAGGAACCTCGTCATGCGCCGTTGCTGGGGGGGGGGAGGGGAGAGGGTGAGGGGAAGGGGGAAGGGGGAAGGGGAAGGGGGAAGGGGGAAGGGGGAAGGGGGAAGGGGGAAGGGGGAAGGGGGAAGGGGGAAGGGGGAAGGGGGAAGGGGGAAGGGGGAAGGGGGAAGGGGGAAGGGGGAAGGGGGAAGGGGGAAGGGGGAAGGGGGAAGGGGGAAGGGGGAAGGGGGAAGGGGGAAGGGGGAAGGGGGAAGGGGGAAGGGGAAGGGGGAAGGGGGAAGGGGGAAGGGGGAAGGGGGAAGGGGGAAGGGGGAAGGGGGAAGGGGGAAGGGGAAGGGGAAGGGGGAAGGGGAAGGGGAAGGGGGAAGGGGGAAGGGGAAGGGGGAAGGGGGAAGGGGGAAGGGGAAGGGGGAAGGGGGAAGGGGGAAGGGGGAAGGGGAAGGGGGAAGGGGGAAGGGGGAAGGGGGAAGGGGAAGGGGGAAGGGGAAGGGGGAAGGGGGAAGGGGGAAGGGGGAAGGGGGAAGGGGGAAGGGGAAGGGGAAGGGGGAAGGGGGAAGGGGAGGGAAGGGGAAGGGGGAAGGGGGAAGGGGAAGGGGGAAGGGGGAAGGGGGAAGGGGGAAGGGGGAAGGGGGAAGGGGAAGGGGGAAGGGGGAAGGGGGAAGGGGGAAGGGGGAAGGGGGAAGGGGGAAGGGGGAAGGGGGAAGGAAGGGAAGGGGGAAGGGGGAAGGGGGAAGGGGGAAGGGGGAAGGGGGAAGGGGGAAGGGGGAAGGGGGAAGGGGGAAGGGGGAAGGGGGAAGGGGGAAGGGGGAAGGGGGAAGGGGGAAGGGGGAAGGGGGAAGGGGGAAGGGGGAAGGGGGAAGGGGGAAGGGGGAAGGGGGAAGGGGGAAGGGGGAAGGGGGAAGGGGGAAGGGGGAAGGGGGAAGGGGGAAGGGGGAAGGGGGAAGGGGGAAGGGGGAAGGGGGAAGGGGGAAGGGGGAAGGGGGAAGGGGGAAGGGGGAAAGGAGTAGAGTTGGTTGGAGTGGTCACAGGGCACATTGCCCTGCATCTTGTTCACCCCTGATGCCCCCCATCTTGGTCACCCCTGATGCCCCGTCCGCTAGAAACCGTGTCATGCGCCGTTGCTGATGTGAGGGGGGAGGGGAGGGGCGAGGGAGAGAGTGAAGTTGGTTAGAGTGTTCATGAGGCACCACTGCCCCGCATCTTGGTCACCCCCGACGCCCCGTCAGCCAGGCACTGCGTCATGCCCCGTTGCTTCCAAATGGGGAAGAGGGAGGGGGAAAGGAGGGAGATGGGCGGAATGAGGAAGCAAGCATGCTGGAGAGAAGCATCGGCTGGAGCGGTCTTGCTGCATGCTGCCAGGCATCTTGCTCAGGCGTAGAGACTTGGGCACCAGGAGGGAGAAAGGGGAAAGGAAAGGATAGAAGGAGGCATGTGGTGATGGTGTGGGAAGATGGTTGTGACAGAGTGACAACTGGTGCTGACGCTTTTGACTGAGACGGAAGCCTAATGGGGGAGTGAGTACGCCTGGAAACGAGAATTGGCAGGTAGATTGTAGAGGTACCTGCAATAGAGTGCTGACGGCGAAGTCCCGTTGCAAGCTGAGCTCGAGCAGCGGGAAGAGGGAGAGCAGCGCAAAGGACGCGTAGAAATGCACATCGTAGCTGGTGGGTGGTGTGGGTGGGTGGAGAGGAAGGGGAAGACGGAGCGATGAGAGGATGGGAAGGGAGAGGAGGAAAGGGGAGGGGTAAGGGAGGTTGCAGGGCAGCAGCATGACCGAGAGAATCGATGAGCACAAACACCAGGCTGTATCGAATAGGTGGTGCATCTATCACGCACAGTCCAAAGTGACACGCGTACTCACGTGTTCCACATGATATACTCAAGCCCCTCCAGATACAGAAACTGCCCCACATTCTCCTCCTCCTCCCCATCCCCCTCCCCATCCCCCTCCCCATCCTCCCTCCCCTCCCCATCTCCCCTCACCCCCGCACCACCCTCCTCTCTACCCTGTGCCAGCAGCTGCACGCCAGAGCACAGGCGCCAGCTGTAGTGCTCGTGCGGCCCCAGAGGCCCCCCTGCCAGCCGCCCTGCCATGGGCGCTGGCAGGTCAAGGGCCTTCTCATGCGGGGTGAGTGGCGGGGGCGAGTGGGAGGAGGGTTGTTGCGTTGCCGCGAGGGAGAGAGACGGGCGGGGGGGTTGCGGTGGGGTGGATGCGAGGGAGGAGGAGGGAGAGGGAGGGGAGGCGAGGGAGGCTGAAGTGGTGTCACTGCTTCGTCTGGCGGACTGTGGTGTGTCTGTGTTGTTGCTGCTGCTTCTGGTCGATGTCGCTTCCTGAAGCGCCTCAAATATCGCTCCTGTGCCTTGTGCATCGTTCGAACCTCTCTCTGCTGCTGCTGCTGCTGCTGCTGCTGCTGCTGCGCCTGCCATATTACTGCGTTCTGGCTCAAACACCATAGCACCAACACCATAGCTCGTCGTCCTCCCCTCTCCTTCCTCCCTTTCAGCGTCCTCCCCTTCCTCCTGTCGCTCCGATATCCTCCCGATAGTCCCCACAGCCAACCCAGCGTCATCTAGTGACAACGCAGACTGCAAATCCCCCTGCCCTGCCCGAAAATCCACCTGAGGACTTTGGGCAGCAAAATCAGCTTCATTCAGTGACAACCCAGATCGCAGATCTCGCTGACCTACCTGAGAATTCACCTGAGGACTTTGGGCTAGGAGACTGGAAAGAGAAGGGCCGAAAACAGGCGGAGTGAGGGATGACGACGCAGACAGGCCACCACGCAAAGCAGCACCACCAGAAGAACCGGCCGCAGCACGCTTTCTCGTGGGAAGAGGCATGGGGGAGGCGGGGAACATGCCAATGGCCATGTTGCTGAACAGGCTAGAAGTGCTGGATAGCAGGCGACCAGGCGTGATGGGGGCAGAGGAGGCTCGTGGCAGGGCGGACGTGGGCAGTGAGGGGGAGTCGAGGGGGAGAAGGTTCTTTGGGAGGTTGGGGGGGAGGGGCGCCCTGCCTGGGATGGGGGGAGGCTTGTTCCATGGCCCCGGGAGGGGCGTGGGGGAAAAGGGGGATGGGGGGGCGAGGTGGGGCGGCTGCTGAGTTGTGTCTTTGCCCGTGGCTGCTGCTGCTGCTGTTGGCGCTGGTGCTGGTGCTGGTGCTGCTGGTGGTGCTGCGGGTGGGATAGGGGAAGGTGGAGCAGGTTCGACGGCCTTGCCTGGGCCATCCTTGATGGCTGTGAGGAGGTTGAGGGGGAGAGCAAGGTGGGAGCAGGGGGTGAAAAGAGCAGGGGACAGAGAGGTGCGGCAGTGTAGGGTGAGTCTGGAGTAATGGGGAGGGGGTGTACAGGAAGAGGAAGGGGGAGGGGGTGTCGGAGCAGGAAAGAGTGTTTGCGGTTCAGGGGCGAGCAGAGAGGTGAGAGCGAGAACGGCGATGTGAGACCTTGGAACAGACGCTGGTGCTCCAGTTGTGAGCCGTGTAAGGGCAGCAGCAGAGAGCATGCAGCAGAGGGCATGCAGCAGAGCGTGTGAGAGGCGGCAAGTGCACGAAGCTGAGCCAATGGGACAGCATGGGAGCGTACAGGGCAAGGGCACGAGAAGGACAGAGCGAGCGAGTGAGTGGGAGGGGTCTTGCGGCTTGAGCCACTCGTGCTGCTCCCTCTCCTCCAGCCGTGGCCCTCCGTCTGTGCAGTGATGTGATGTGATGCACGGGGGAAAAACACGCACACATATTGCTAGTGATACGCCGTCTGGCAGAAAGCCAGTGTCTGAGCATGGAAGGAGTGAGCAGAAGGCATGCCCGATTCCTCGCAGCCTACAATTGTGCTGTTATTTGCACACAGTGCACTTTACCCGTCCATGACTTATCCTTACCCGTCCACACGGTGCCCCCTGCAGTGAGAAAGTAGAGCTCGTTGAAGAGCGTCACTCGGTACCTGGGAGAGTGAGGAGTGTGTGTGTGAGGGGTAGGGGGACGGGCAGGAGGAGAGTCAGGAATTGTGGTAGATTCCACTTGGGCAGTGACGAAGTAGAGCTCGTTGACGAGTTTCACACAGTACCTGTGACCTGGTCAGGAAGGAGGTGATGGGTTCGGCAGGAGGGCAGGTTGGGACGGGGGCAGGTTGGGACGGGGGCAGGTAGGGACGGGGGCAGGTTGGGATGGTGACAAGTTCTGGGGGTATAGCAGGAGGAGTGGAGGTATGCCGAGAGGGATGCAGGGATGTGGGGATTGCAGAGAGAGAAAGGCACAGGTTGCATAGGGAAGGACGCAGGCATGCACATACCACTCAGGAAGGGCATCGTCTTGGAGAATGGGTTGCTGCCATGCGTCAATGGCCCTCTCCCAGTTGCTGTACCCTGCCATAGCGGACAGACACGGTGCAGAGACAGGGAGCAGCGACACAGAGCAGTAGCAGGGACCAGTTGACCACAGTCAACATCAGAGTTCACGATACATGACCATCAAGCATGCAGCAGCACTGAACCAGCATCACACATGCAGTATCACTTTCCCCCCACTACGCCTCCTGCATAACCCTCTGCTCCGCCCCACGCCTCCAGCAGCACGCACTCACCCAGAAGAGCATCGCGGGCCAGCAAGTGAGCTGCCATGCCCTGGTGGCCGTAGAAACGCGTGTAGCGCCTGCCACGCCATGCATGGGCACACACACACACATGCACATCCACACACACACACAGACACATCACGACACCATGCATGCAGAGCATGAATGTGAGGGGGAGAAGATTCTTGAAAGGGACTACCAGGTTCAAGAAACGCATCAAGCCTTTAACAGTTGCTCTCTCTCAGCCCCTCGTTCGGTCTCACTTACCAACGCCACACCCCCCCAGGTCTCACCCTCCCAACTCCCTCACCAAAGGGGACTCGCCCTCCTAGCTATGATCCCCCTAGCGATCACACCTGAGGTAGTGGCTGTCAGGGTTGAAGCGGGCAACAGGCACGTCCCAGCAGAGCGTGAAGTCCACGTGGCGGGTGGCTCCGGACGGCACCGACACCGATGCCGCCACTGCCGCCCCGATGGCCGTGCCGGGGAATGAGGGGTGTGACGATAGGGCAGACTCGTGGTGGGGGGGGAAGGTGCCCGTCTGTGGTAAAAAAGGGGGAACGGTGGGGGTGGTTGGAGGTGTTGGGAGGAAGAGGTATGGAGAGAGTGAGGCAGTGACGGCTGCTGATGGCCGTGCCAGGGCTGACAATTAAGGGATGGAAGGTCTGTGGTGGGTGGGATGGAGGAAAGACGGAGAACTGGAAAAGGTGAGGTGAACATGGGGGGGACAATGGGGTCGATGCATCGGCCTGAGGAAACAAGCATGCGATGCATGTCATGCATTGTACCAGAGAAGAAACACACCTTCTCAAGGTGCAGCCACATGTCAGCAGCTGATAGGCCCTTGCAGGGGCCTGAGAGGACGAAGTGCGGGCAGACAGACACGCGCACCCCATCAGTGCTGCTGTCAGCAGTCCCATTAGTTGAATCAGCCATCCTGCAAGCTGAGTCAGCGATCCCGTTGGCTGAGTCAGCAGTGATGGGAAAGGAGTTGGTTGCAAAGGTGGCAGAGGGAGGAGCAGTGTTGGTGGCACCACTCCCACCACGCGCTGCAATGGCTAGAGTCACTGGGCCGCCCACTTTGGAGGACCTGCATGCATGCAGAGGAGAGGCGGCAGAGGAGAGGCGGCAGAGGAGAGGCGGCAGAGGAGAGGCGGCAGAGGAGAGGCGGCAGAGGAGAGGCGGCAGAGGAGAGGCGGCAGAGGAGAGGCGGCAGAGGAGAGGCGGCAGAGGAGAGGCGGCAGAGGAGAGGCGGCAGAGGAGAGGCGGCAGAGGAGAGGCGGCAGAGGAGAGGCGGCAGAGGAGAGGCGGCAGAGGAGAGGCGGCAGAGGAGAGGCGGCAGAGGAGAGGCGGCAGAGGAGAGGCGGCAGAGGAGAGGCGGCGGCAGAGGAGAGGCGGCAGAGGAGAGGCGGCAGAGGAGAGGCGGCAGAGGAGAGGCGGCAGAGGAGAGGCGGCAGAGGAGAGGCGGCAGAGGAGAGGCGGCAGAGGAGAGGCGGCAGAGGAGAGGCGGCAGAGGAGAGGCGGCAGAGGAGAGGCGGCAGAGGAGAGGCGGCAGAGGAGAGGCGGCAGAGGAGAGGCGGCAGAGGAGAGGCGGCAGAAGAGCGAAAGAGAGCGAGAATCTGTTAGAAGTTGGGATTTCGTAGAGCGAGGAATGAGCATAAGGGGGTGTGTGGATCAATGGGATGAGAGGCATGCATGGTGGTGGATGAGATCCCACCTGTGTTGAAGTTTCACGCCTTTGATGCCCCTGTCCATCCTGACACGCACAAACACCACAAGCATTGTCGGCAGGATGAAAGAGGGGAAATGAGAGTTATGGCACCAAGGCAGGCGGTGCAGCAAAGCGAAGCACACGTGGAAAGGATGTGCAGGCAGCTGGTGCGATGGTGGTTCCATGGTTGACGGTTGCTTGGTGCTGTGTTCTCACTCAAAGGCCGTGTTGAGATGGCCGCCGGTTGTTACAGAGTCCCCCCCTATGGAGTTCTGCAACGTCACAAAGGGGGCAAAGGATTGATGCAGGAGATGATGTTGGGCTGGGTGGACGAGAAGAGAAGGGATGGGAAGGAGTGAGTGTGCAGCGCGGTGCAGTGTGGTGGTGCGTGCACATAGATGAATCAGCTTCTACAGAAAGCTAGCCAGTCTGTGCGCATGCTAGACACTTTGTGCGGTGTCATATGCACAGACTAGGAGAGCTACGAGGCGGATGGACTTGAGAGGAACGAGGCGGTAATGCAGCACGATGGTACAGCAAGCAGGTGAGGCAGGGAAAGCAAGGGGGGACTCACTGCAAGGGAGAAGACGAGTGTGACATCAGCTGCTGTGGTGCCCGTGTTAGCTACCTGGTCAATGGGCAACACAGGAGCATAAGTGCACATGGTGAGCACAGGGCCATGCCCAAAACAAACAAATCGTGCAAGCAATGCGATCCAGATGATGATAACGAGGGTATGAAGAGAGAAGAACAACGTAAGTTGTAAGGGGAAGAGGCGGGAAGAGCAGGGAACGGGAAGCGGAAAGGGGCGGGAGGTGTGGGTTTACAGTGAAAGAGAAGACGGAGGAGGGGAGGGAGGACTCCTGGTAGTTGTTGGGTATGAAGGGCGACACCTGGCGACACGAGATGGTCATCTGTGGGTCTGGCTCTGTACTCACAGGGAAGCACACACGGGCAGGCAGCGCACACTCGCAGGCGCACATACAAACGAAGCCAGCAGATACATACACCAGAAAGGCTCAGATCCACACGCGGATGAGAAAGGAAGACAGTGCCGTCATCCGCGTGTGGAACGCAGTAGCATCAGCACGTTGCAACACAGGGACCACGTTGCATGCCCAATTGCACCATGAACCATACATACATACGCACGCACGCACGCATGCACGCACGCTATGCATGGCACTACGAATGTTCTTCCACGTCCCACCCTAGTAAAGCAATCAACAAACATGACATGCTGGCTCCACCCGCTAGCTACCTTGATAGACGGTCCAGGCGCGGGGGAAGAGAGCATAGTAGGTGCTGCGCGAGCCATCCATGTTCCACCCCCACGCGTCGATGCCCGACCCACTCGCCCTCCTCCGCAAGCCCTTGGGCACACCAGGGTACAGCACAGAGGAAAACTTGCGGGGTTGGTCTGCTGGGCTCTCTGCCTGCCTCGTGATGAACACCTGCAGAGGCAGCGCCATGGAATGAAAAGAACAAACGGTTGCAGATGGAGGGACTTCAAACGCCCTTGGCACGCCAGGGTACAGCACGGACGAGAACTTGAGGGGCTGGTCCGCTGTATGCCAAGCAAATTGCCAGACCGGATGTGATGTGATGTAGCTGTTGTAACATAACGAATATGCAGAGCTTCCAGAGGCCGGGTAAAGGAGGGGACGATAGGGAGGGCTCACAGCGACGTGGTTGACGTTCACGGGTGAAGTGGTATTCATTCATTAGTGTAGCTGCTGTGACTTGAGAGGGGGGGAAGGGGATGAGAGGACTCACAGAGAACTGATCGGCCTCCACGGGGGCATCCTCGCACTGCCCCGCTGCAAACTGCCATCGGTTGAACTCCCCTCGGAACCCCCGCCCAATGCTGCACGCCCTGCACTCACGCAGCAGCGCGCAGAGGGGCGGGCAGCAGGCAGCAGGGAGGAGGGCGGAGGGCGGAGAGGGAGGCAAGTGGTGGCAGGTGAAGCGTGAAGACAGAGCGGGGCAGGGCAGGCATGATGGTGGAGAGCAGATAGGTGGACGAGCGTGGGCAGGCAGGTGAGAGGGGAAGGGAGGTGGGGTTACGAATGGCCATGCATTGTGAAGCCCCTAGAGGTAGGTGGGCCTACCCGATGCCTCCTAGAGGCACTCCGTGGCATGCTGATGGCTGTGTTTCACGAGAGAAAGGGTCAATCACTGGCACCTGCAGGGGCATGGGCGAGGGGGGGATGCAGGAGGCACAGCCGGGGAATGGGCATGGCTTGGCATGCATGGGGATGAGGCGTGTGAGTGCGTGAGGCTGGAGATGACACTGACGAAGCAAGAGCACTTCCCATGCCAGAGGGTGTGTTTCACATCACAGAGCAGTATGTAGGAGCATCATGAGTCATCATGAGTCATCATGACTCATGCGCGTAGCAGATACCATGCACTCACCCGGCCCTGTGACTTCTCCCTCTGGTTGTGTGACCACAGGCGCACCCCCAGCGGCAGCTGCACGTGCGCAGAGGGCAGGGCGGAGCATGATGGGGGGGTTGCAGCAGAGAGGAAGAGGTATTTAGAATCAACTCTTTTTGGCATAGGCTCAATATGTTGAGTGCTTGAGACAATCTGCATCCTGCACTCATTTCTCTTGGTGCAACATGCCTGATGATATGCCAGCTAAGCAACTCCCACCAACAACACCCCCCCCAGCACCACACGCAGCCCGCACGTTGCGCAGGGCCTCGGAGAAGGTGACGGAGAACTCCTTGAGGGGCGCCGCATGGGCGTCCAGCTGCCGCACCCACGCCACCTCGGGCGGCGCTGCTGCTGTCCCCGCCAGCTGGCCACACGGAGAGTTGGGGGAGCGGAAGGGCATTGAGGAGGGAGGGGGGGCGTGGGCGGGGATGCGGGGGAAACACGGTAGGGCATTGGGGTGGAAACGGAGTGGACGGGGAGGGGGGGGAGGGGCAGGGCAATGGGGGTGGGAGGAGTGGGAGAGGGAGGGGAGAGTTGCAAGGGAGGATATGAAAAGCGGGTGTGGACCAATAGGGGATCAGAGAGAGAACGAACGGCATGACAGAGGCTGTTTTGTGCCTCCAAGAAGGGACAAGAGAGAGGAAGGCGTACGAACGATAAAGGAAGAAAGGCACGTGCAAGGGCTCATCTGAACGCGAGTACCAGATACGCTCCCGGGAAGGGGGGGAACGTGACTGACGACCGCAGCTTCATCCCTTCACCCTCCGCAGATCCCTCTTCCGCCGCTACTGCCGCTGCTGCTGCAGCTGCGGCGGCCGTTGCGGCGGAGTCAGTCGGGGCTGCAGCAGCAGCGCCGTGGTCCCACCCGGCGCTCCTGCAGATGGCAGACAGTATGTTGCCGCTGCAGAACCTGGGGGAAGCGGCAGGTGGGGAAACAGGGGGGTTTTCAGGCACTTGAAAATTTGCAGACAGCATGCTGCCGCTGCAGAACCTGGGGGGAGCAGCAGGGGGGAGCAGCAGGGGGGAGCGGTAAGGGGGAGCAGTATGGAGGGGGGTGAGGCACCGCAGAACTCGGCAGTCGGCATGTTGCCGCTGCAGAACCTGGGGGGAGCGGCAGGGGGGAGATTGAGGCACCTCAGGAACCTGGGGGGCAGCAGAGGGGGGGTTCAGGCACCTCAGAACTCGGCAGACAGCATGTTGCCGCTGCAGAACCTGGGGGGAGCGACAGGGGGGAGCGGTAAGTGGGGGGGCGGGGGGGGGGGTCAGGCACCGCAGAATTCGGCACTCGGCATGTTGCCGCTGCAGAACCTGGGGGGAGCAGCAGAAGGGGTTTGGGGTGCCTCAGAATATCGCAAATGAAGCATGCGCGACGAAGGGAGTCGTTTCATTTTGCGATGCGTCGCAGAAAACGTGACGTAGACGGAGAGAACACAATTTTCTTGCGCTGGTCTCCTTGTGACCGGCGTAAGAAGCATTCATGGTTCCTTCATAAACAAACCCCTTCAAGTCTAAATTCTTTGAATCATTCTCGTTAGGCACCCCTTACATTGTGACAGGTTGAAGTCAACACGAAGACGTCGACGGTAAATCGCTGTGAGCCGTTGATCTAATGGGCATCTCTGATGGCACACTCGTGGTGCCGGGTCGGCGACAACTGCTGCTGGCGCTAACTCGGCGAATGATACGATACGGTATGATAGGAATGCGACGCAGACGTCAGACTAAGTGTTACGGACGAGCGTCACGCAGTAATGCAAGGTAAATAACCTCGGAATTTCTCGATCGTTTCAGGGCGAATTATGCCTGGCATTCATGTTGGGATGTATACTAAGAACTCGTAATCGCACACTTCTACCAAAAGCACGCTTGGTGACTAGTTACCGCCTTCTGTTATGAACACCGTTAGGAACGGCACGAGCAGGACGGTCTAGATTCGTGACCCCCGTAAAAGCAAGCAAAGCCACAAAGATAAGCGAGTAAAGAGAAGCGCTGCGCTTCATAAATTGTGATCAGTTTTGGTTTCGAGAATGGTGTTCTCTAGGAACAAATCACCCATCCCAAATCAAGCCCCCACTGCCATCATTGTCAGATTGGCGGGAAACGGAAATCTTCGTCTTAATCTACCTCGACTGCTGTCTATTACTGATAGGAAACTTTACGAGCAAGACATAATTGGGCACTCAAACCAGAAAACCATGAAGTTCACTACTGGCTAATGTTATGTTTTCACAACTTGCCACAGCAATTTTCTCTCACGAATTGACAAAACGCGTGGTCAACTGGTAATTTTCTTTCACTTAGGGGGCACATGTTAGATCCCAGACCAGAGGGTGTTTTATATTATAAAAAGGCTCAGAAGTACCTGCACACCAGAAACTTGATTACGGTACATCTCCTTGTGCCCCATTAGATGCTACTTTGCTGAGTTTTCAGGGCTGGACCACACGCATCTCACTGACATAAGCGAGGTTGCTTCGGGTGATTAGAACCAAGGTCAATCACACTCCTTACATACCTAACACTGTGTCAAGTCACCCCTACTGGCGTTTGAGCCTGGTTTCGAAGATAAAGCACATGGCATGACATGTCCTCCCCATACACTTCCTCCGACAGCCAGGGTGCCTGTGCGGTAGACATGCATACCACACCCACACGCGCGCACACACACGCAGTTGCAGCGAGTCATTCGCCCCGCTCTCCGCTTGCAGCATGAAGCGCAGGGGTGCAGGTAGGTGCCTGGTGGGAGGGAGAGGGGGGGATGGGAAGGGGAGTACAGAGAGATAAAGAAATTGTGAGGGGGAGGCGCCGCCGGTGGTGGAACACACACACCACATTTAGAACACACACCACATTTAGAACACACACCACACACCAGGCACACACCTGCATACACGGTACAGCCTACACAGCACACAGCACAGAGCACAGCACAGAGCACAGCACAGAGCACAGCACAGAGCACACACATCACACACCACACTCACGCCACGCACACAGCACTCACACCCAGATACAGGCAGGCTTGAACAAGGTAAAAGAGGGGAAGGGAAGGAGGGAGGGGGGTGAAGTGCAAGCAGTGGCGACGACACAAAGCAAGGAAAAAGACAAGGCGGGGGGAGGGGAAGCGAGTGGCGAATGGGATGGGAGGGGGTGCATGGGCTGAGGTGCATGGAAAGAAAGGCCGTGATAACCGAAACAAACAAGTAGCAAGAAAGAGCAAGCACAGTAACAAGCACAATGGTACAGCGTGACGCGCGTCCCACATCCTCCCGTCCCTCTCCGCCCCCCACGATCTCCAGCTTCCCAATCTCCAACCCCACCTCTCATACCCCCACCGCCTCTCGCACCCCCCAAGTAAACCCCCCCTCCCCATTCTCCCCCTTTCGTCCCCCCTCCAACCTTGTGATGGTGCGGCATCAGGGCGCAGACACACACGAGGAAGGTGCACGGCACACCCAGCCACGTGTGAGCGCCTGCTCGCTGCCCTTGAGCACACTCGTTCGTATGCCCGTCTCGTCTCCTCTTGAGTCGACTCAAAAGCACACTCACTCGCATGCCCCTCTCGTCTCCTCCGCCTCTGCCTCGTGCCCTGCAGCAGTGCACGGGGTGGGGGATCATGGGGGAAGGAGGAGGGGGAGGGGATGCAGGGGAGGAGGGCAGCTGGCAGACGGATTGATGAGGTTGGCAAGGAATCCAAAGAGTGTGGAGATGCCAATCGGACTTCTGACATAATTCTCAGAAGGATTGATTCCTTCTGCAGAGTGGCGAGGAATTAAAAGAGTGTGGAGATGCTTCTGTGGCGACCCCGCCTGTGGCGAGGCCGACGCGCATCTTGTGCAGCAGCAGGCGACGCACTCCACACGCCTTGAGGGAATGGGATGGGTCGAACGGCGCTGGGGAAACACCTGGGGCCACACCTGGGGCCACACCTTAAAGGGTTTCAAGACAGGCAGCGAACAAGAGGATCAAGGGTGAGGAGGAGATGCGGGAAGCAGTTGGCTCGCACCGTCATGCGGCGAAAAACGCCCCCATCTGCGCGCATGACACTCGCTCTGATGGGGGGAGTTCGCTGGTGTATGGGGCAGGGTGCGAGGGACCGGGGGGAGGAAACGGGGGTCAGGGGTAGGGGACAGAGGGGAGGGGGGACGGTGGAGGTGGCCGGGGGGAGGAGGGAGGAGGCAGGGGGGGCAGGGAACAGGGGACAGGGGGGAGGGTTGTATGGGTGATTTCACTGAGGCAGTTCCCTCATGACTGTATGAGGACGAACATGAGGGAGACGAGGGAAGATGGTGAGGATAAGGTACTTTGCGCACACTATCATGCCTGACAGAGCACCTGACGAAACAACTGGGGAAACACCTGGGGCCACACCTGACAGAGCACCTGAAGGCACACCTGACAGAACACCTGAAGGCACACCTGAGAGCAAGATCTGCTCCAGCACGCGCCGCATCTCCTCTTCGCCCAGCGGCCGGTCTGCGTGGGTTTCGTGCACACGCGCGCCTGCGCCTCGAGAACCACCTGGTTCGGACCCACGTCATCTTGCAGAAACCTTCCGCGCAAGTTCCCGCCGGTCTCCTCTTCCCCGATCTCGCGGATCTTAGCCGATACAGACGGCTCGGATTCGCCTGAGGCTTCGATTGCACGGCTCGCGGCGGAAACGGCTAGACGGTGAGTGGAGGGCGATTTACTAGGGAAATTGCGCGCGCTTCCCGTTCGGAGGAACTGCGTGGAATGAATTCGTGCGGGAAAGACTGTCGCGCGTGAATAATACGCGGCGCGGCTACTCGATGGCCCTCCTGGTGCTGCGACGATCGAGGTTGGCGCGGATCTGAACATTCGATCGCACGATAGCGAGTTCTTCGCATGCGATTCCGCCGATCGACTCGCATGTGCCCCACGCCGGTCGCATGAGTCGCCAGGGGATCGCAACTGGCGGGATCGACGCAGTGGTGCGATGCGGCAGCGGGGTATCCCGCGATACCATCATCTGACCCGCGAAGAGAAGTTAGCGCAGAATGAGGGTCGGGTAAGGGCGTCGTTCGGGGAAAAAGTAGACTAGCAATCGGACACGTCGAATATTGACAACAATTATCAAGGTCGGCACAGGAAGTCGGCGAAGGTGATGGTATGATAAATCTTGATTCCCTTTCAAAGCAGGCCAGAAGAGTGTATAGACAATTAAAGAATATTACAGATACTACAGACATTACTTCAACTACTCAACACCATTAGCAACTCAAGTTCCACATCTTTAAAACCGGGGTGCACATTCAGCTGAATGTGCATCAAAGGTTATCCCTTGACTGAGTGGGTTACGAGGTGTGCTTTCAACCCCTTCAAGTCGAAATTCGTTTCCCCCCTCCCCCGCAATTTCGTTTCCCCACGCCCCCGCAATTTCATTTCCCCCTCCCCGTCGAAATTCGTTTCCCCCCTCCCCCGCAATTTTGTTTCCCCCCTCCCCCGCAATTTCGTTTCCCCCCCCTCCCGCCAATCTGTTTCATCCCTCCCGCCATTCGGTTTCACCCACTCCCGCCATTTCACCCCCTCCCGCCACCTACGAAATGCCCGAAGCTCTAGCGGAATCATTTTTTTGTCGCCCCTCGTGAGCCAATCACTGTTTTTCTCCAAACCCCCTTCCCAACATCTCAAGCCGAACCGCGTTGAATGTGCACCCTGGTTTTAAACAAGAGTACAGAGCATTAACGTCATAGTTGATACTAATCCTTCAACACCCAAGAACTATGGGGTGTTACTCCAGCTATGAAAGTGACTAATTGCTGTTGTAGATACTAAGTTGCATAACGTAGGTAACCTGCACAGTGCAATTCGTCAGCGACGTCAGCGCGTATCACGCTGACCAGTGAAAATTACAGTAATGCGCGTATCACGCTGACCAATGAAAAATATAGTTATGGTCGCTGAAGGACGACTCATATTTGGGACACACTACAGTTTATGTTGTTTTAGGGTGTCACAAAGCGATTGAGACATTTGTGTCGACTCAGGAATGTACCCTAAATTGTTGGAGTACCGGTCATCTAGGCGTTTTTCAGGAGGGATTAGGAATGTGCATTCAGTGTGCACTTCGATAAAAGGCTGAAAATTCAATGTTAACCATGAAATGAAGTCTGAAAAATCAGTATCACAAAAAACTACACACTGAAAAATCAGTATAGGTACACAAAAGTAGGCTGAAAATCAGGAATTTCAGGGAAAAATTCCTGATATCGTAGGGCCTGCACATGGGTATAGTTTGACTGCCACATGCCTTGGAAGGGGCTGGCTGCCGGAGGCATGAAGACCATCCTCCCCCACCACAGGGAGGACTGGCTGCAAGGCATGGAGCCATCAGAGGCATGAAGCCACCCCCCCCACACCACAGGGAGGACTAGCCGTTGAGGCATAAAACCATCCTCCCCCACCACAGGGAGGACTGGCTGTTGAGGTCTAAAGCCATCCTCCCCCACCACAGGGAGGACTAGCCCACTCTCAGGGTTGCTATTATCAAGACATGCGGGAGCCCATGTACGCCGGTTCTGTCCTTTTGGACCCCCATCAAGTAGCAGAGGTGCTGCAGTCAGCTCTGCTACCGGACAGAACCATTGTGTATAGCCCGGATTCGAGATTAGCCAACCCCAAGAGTGTTCTCAACCATGAATTAGCCTCCTCATGCCTTGATGACATCATGCCAATAGCACATGCCACGCCAGCCCCTCCTGGGGCACCTGCAGGAGACAAGAGCAAAGGTCAGTACCTTGGTAAAAGTAGAAAAATAAAAGCTGGAAGTTAACATATGTACCTCGTTCTTAGTATGTTGAGCCTCACAACCTTGGACTAGAAGGAGCCTTGAGTGGAAACTGTTGGTCGAAAGCCTCCACTGTTGAAAAACCTGCAGGGTGAAAAAGAAAATGTCAGTTTGGGTGTGAAAGAAAACGAATAGCTGAAGATTAAAACCAGTACCCTGGTGGACTTGTATACTGAAATGATTGATTTGTTGAAGGTCTTGGGTGGCGAGTGACCGTTGAAGGGCTCTAGGATGAGGTACCTGCAAAAAAGGAAACAAAGAGACGTTAGTCAAGCTTAAAAAGAAAAACAAACAAAAACAAACAAAAACAATTCAAAAAATCAAGAACATTACCTTGGGGGCCTTGGATGCTGGGATGTGATGCTGACTGTTGAAGGTCCAGGGAAGCAAATGGCTGTTGGAACGGCTTGAGTGGTGAAGCACCTGCAAAAAGACGTGAAGGAGACGTCAGTCAAAGGTTAAAACGAAAAATGAACAAGAAACATTTCAAGAGCATTACCTTGGGGGCCTTGGGCGTTAAGATGTTTGATTGCTGAAGGTCTTGAAAGGGAAATGGCTGTTGAACGGCTTGAGTGGTGAGGTCCCTGCGGACGTAAACAAAAAGACATCAGTCAAGGATATGACAAAACAACCAACAAGAAGCAATACAGGAAGTCAGGAGCGTTACCTTGGAGGCCTTGAATGTTGGGATGCTCGTTGAGTGACTTGAGAGAGAAGTGGCAGTTGAAAAGCTTGAGTAGTGAGGTACCTGTGGAAAGAAAGCAAGGACTTGTTAGTGAAAGTAGAAAAGTTAAACAACAACCACCATTGAAAGTTAGGAGGTTTACCTTCCCAAGTCTTGAAATTATTGAAGGGACTTGGTAGAAAGCCTTTCTTCAATGCTGCCAGGCAAGCTGTCTAGGTTGACCACACAGTGTTGAGAAGAAGGCCTGCCAATCAAAGGAAAGGTTTGGAAAGAGAATGTTAATACAAGTGGCACTAGGAGCTCCATGGAGGATCAATGCGTGTATCCATGTGCATGATGGGGAAGGATGGAGTAGCATAGATGTATGAGCGCTTGCCACCACATCCACATGAGCCAGGTACCAGAAAAATACCTTACGAGACCTGAGGATCTCACCAGAGAGAAGAATACCCTATACCAAATACCTGACCAGCTAAGGGGGAATGGCTCATGTGGTGACGGAGGCTAGCGCTCATGCATACATGCATGAAAATGTGCATGCCATGATGAAACCGAAAGCATGGTGTAAAAGATCGAAATAGCAGAAAACAACAAGAAAAAACGCAGCACCAGAGGCGAGGCTTGAAAGTACTTATCTCAACACTGAATGTTGGCTGTAACTCTGAAGTGCTCGCTCCAGATGTGCGATTGAACGCTCGGAAGTTGACCGTGCTGCTCAAATGTTGGCAGGAAGTCGCTTGGATGATGCCTTGATGTGTTGAGCGTAGCGTTGTTCAAGAAGGCCTCCATGGAGAAAGAGCATCTGCCATATAAAGATAGAGGAGGGAGAGTGAGTGAGTAGATGCAGCAAGGGAAGGTCCAAACGAGCAAGAAAATTAAGCATGTGCATGACGGGTGGTACGGGTATGCAGGAACAAAATGCGAAAGCACATAACACCACTGCTATAAGAGCCAAGTACCAAGAAATACCAATAGAGACCTGAGGGACTCACCAGAGGAAATACCTGACTAATAAAAAAACCATCTAAGGGGATTGGCTCCTATAGCAGTTGTGGTAAGCGCTCCAGCATTACAAAAAAAAAAAATGGAAACGATGAGTGGAAAATGGAGTAGGGAGAAACAAGGATTTGTTGATACTTATCTGCAATCGAAGTTCAGATCTTCAGTGTTGGTTGACGCCTTTGCTTGAAGTCCTCGTTCAGACTGCTGGCTTCAAGTCTTGAACTTGGCATGTTGAGATCTGAGGGCCTTGCTTCTCCCAGGTGATGGAGCGTCGTAGCAGAGAAACTGCCAGAAAAACGAAAACAAAACGTTAAGTTCAGAATGACGATGCGATAAACGAAATAACGCGACGAAAAAATAGATTGGTGTGGGAGGAAGGGGGTATTCCAGCCAAAGCAGCCGCACCGTAGAGCTCAGACAGACTGACGCATGCATGACTTGGCGACGCTGACACTAGACAGACCTAAAGAGACTAACCCAAACTAGGGGAAGAGACAGGTAGCTCTACAGGCGGAACTTTGGCTGGAAGACCAACAACCAGTACGGATGAATGATTAAATAGCTGACACGATGAGGGTGAAGAGGATACTTAGCTGGAAATGGAAGGCTGATAAAGAAACTAGGCTGGCGAAGTCCGATCCGACTTGAGAGCGTTCGGACCGTGAGCAGCAAGTGACGGATGTCGAGTAGATGTGCAGCCGCCGTCGCAATGAGTGCAGAGCAAAGCTACGATGACACTTGAGAGCGTTGAATGTCTTTATTCCACTTCTCTGCATAAAAGGGATAAACAACGCAAATCAGTACAAGTTCAACGTGCAAAAGATATAAAAAAGGTACGCTCGGGAGCAATAAATCGGTTGAAGAGAAATATTGTGGCGTACCTTTAAGATGGAAGTCTTGATGCTTGAGCAACTTGCCAGACATCAGCAGAAGCTTCAATCTTGAAAGGGCCGAAGTTGGAAGTCGTGAAGTTCAGAAGGATAGTGGTAGGAACTATTGCACCCGCGGACGAGAAGTCGAGTTCCACAAGGGAGGTTGGAGACCGTAAAGTATGTATTCGGCGTCGAAATCGTTGAGCTATGAGGTTGAAATGTCGGCTGGGAATGTGCTGACTTATATGCTTGCATTTGAGCAAACTGCCTGGAGAGGAGAGGTACTGCAAGGGAACGCAAGTGACGCCGACGACGGTGGAACAGGAGAAGTCCCCACAAAATCGACTCAGTTTCGAGCCGCGTGCGTCAGAAGTTCGCGCTAAGATAAACGGCTACGTGGCCGCTGTTGACTAAGGGTTTCTAACTTCAAGAGTTCAAGTGCTGAAAGAGCGACTGCGTGTCAGCAGGGGAGGGCTCTTGGTTGTGCCTCTGTCAGGGTGATGGGGTGGGGTGGGTCCGGGGTTTGATGCACAAGTGTTGGTGGGTTTGATGACCTTGAGTTCCGCGAAATTTGGCGACCTCAGCGAAGTGTTGACTGATATGGGTCCTCATTTCGCCAACTAGATTGGCTTCGTCACGGTCGGAATGGATTCGGGGTGACGATGATTGGTTCGTGAGATCCGGGCTGGGCTGGTTCCGCGGCAAACGCGCGGGGTTTGGCAGGTTTTCGCAGAACAGGGGGCGCGCGTAGCGCTGCGCGAAGCGGAGAGAACATGAGAGGACATTGGTTGTGGTCCATTCGCTCCACCGCATTCAACCCATTCTATTCACTTTAGGCAACTCCTGCAGGGATGGAAACAGTGACCGCACGGAGAAAGAAATTCAGGTTATGACTCCAACCAAGGCGGAGCTGAATGTTGTGGAAAATGACGGAATGGCAACGCGGGAAGCCCCAAGCCGAAGGTTCTCTAGTTAGCTGAAATTGTATCATAATTATGTCCTGACGGCGCTTGATGTCCTACGAATCAGTGCCTTCGAAAAGGTACAGATGGCCTCCGAAACAGGTATAGAGGACGAGAACGGACTCCTTACGACGATGCGGAAACGGAAACCGCAAAATAAGGGTTCCGAGCGCCTCGTAGACGACACTGAGCCAGAGGAGAACGAGGATCGGCGGAATGCGGTATTGCTGAATAAATCAGCGGGTTTCCCGGAGACGTTTAGGCGCGCAATGCGCAGGGTTCCAGCGATTTTTGCGCTGCGCGCCGTGCTGCCACGCGGGAGCTGGTGGGACCTGCAGCAGCTGGCTGGACGGAAGGCAGCACGCGGGAAATGGGCCAATGGTAGCAGCAACGAGGATAACAGCAGCGGTGGGGATAACAAAGGGAGTGAGAATGGGAGCGCGGAAGGGGATTCGGCTCCTGGCGAGCTGTGGGACGCCATTCGCAAGCTCTGGCGGTTCTGCGCGCCCAACAGGACCATGCTCGTCCTCGCTGCCCTCTGCCTCGCCCTCGCCGCTGTCAGTCCCTGCTCCTCCTCCCTCACTTCCCTCCCCTCACTTCCCCTCCCCTCACTTCCCCTCCCCTCCCCTCCCCTCCCCTCACTTCTCCCCTTTCTCACCCCCGCAGCCCCCGCTTCCCCCGCCTTTCTCTCTGCCCGCCACCAGCTATCAGAGGTGGCCATGCCGCACTACCTAGCGGCGGCCATATTCGCCGCGTCCAACGGGCTCACGGACGAGTTCAACAGCAACGTGCGCCTCCTCATCGCCATGACGCTCGCCTGCGGGCTCTTCAGGTGCGGCCCATGTCACTTGCGTGTCACAAGCAGTCGTGGGTGCCGTGTCAGGTGTGCGGTCGTGCTCTGATGCGGCACCAGTTCAACTGCGGCGTGCGCCTCCTCATCGCCATGACTCTCGCCTGCGGGCTCTTTAGGTGTGTGTGATGCTCAGGTGATTGCTGTGTGATGCTCAGGTGATTGCTGTGTGATGCTCAGGTGATTGCTGTGTGATGCTCAGGTGATTGCTGTCTTCAGGTGATTGCTGTGCTCAGGTGATTGCTGTCTTCAGGTGTGTGTGATGCGCAGGTGCATGCGGTGTTCAGGTCATTGTATGCCATGTTTTGGTGCGTGAGTGCGTGCGTGTTCTAAACATGCCCTGACATTACCTGCTTTCTCATGTGCGTGTCTTGCCATGATACGCAGTGGTCTGAGGGCCGCCCTTTTCACCATCTTCAACGTTCAAATGGTGACTCCACGCACCTGCACATGCCTTTTCAACAGCCCCCCCGTGTTACACACTCTCACACGGGCGATTCTCATACTCTGTCTCTGTCTCTCTCACATGGCCGCATCCTCGACATATCTCCCCACTCAATCTGCTTCGCCTCCTTTCTTCCTGTTTCCATTTTCTGCTTCGCCGCTTCTGTCCAGGTGCGGCGAATGAGGCTGGCTCTGTACGAGACGCTCATCCAGCAGGATATCTCCTTCCATTACTCTGCACACCCCCCTCCCCTGCTTCCCCCGGTGTCCTGTCCAGATGCGGCGAATGCGGCTGGCGCTATACGAGACGCTCATCCGGCAGGACATTGCCTTCTTTGACGGCCAGTCGGTGGGCGACCTCACATCCCGCCTCGGCTCCGACTGCCAGGCTGCGGGGTACACAATGGGCAGCGACCTCAACATCGTGCTGCGCCACTCGCTGCTGGTGGGTGGTGGAAGGAAGGGAGGGAGGGGGTGGTGAATGGGAGGGACGGCTTAGCTGAAATTGCAAGCTGTTAGTGCTTGGGTGTGATTGTATGTGGTTAGTGGTTGGCATGTGAGTGCAGACTGCTAGTGATATGTGATGTAATATGTCACATGCGCATTTTCCAATATAGCCTCGCACCCTCTCACGCCCCATCGCAAACCCACCCTCTAATATGCCTGTTGCTTCGATGCCACCACATGCCCTCATGTTCCTTCATGCTATGCCCTTTGCACCCTCACCCAGCATGGCCGACCGGAAATTAGGAGCATGGTCCTCATCATGTTGTATGCCCTCATACCCCTTCCATTCTTTCAATCGCCCAATCCCCCATTGGACATTCCCGATCCACCATTCCTCAACCTTATCCGCCACATGGATGTGTGGGCAGGGCATAGGAACGTTTGTGTTCCTCGTTCGGCTGAGCTGGCAGATGGCTCTGATGGCTGCTGCTCTCTGTGGAGTCATGTGGTATTTGCTCGTCGTCTATGGCAAGTACGTGTCACAGTACATACACGTCCTGTCCTCCTGCTGCCAAACGTCTCCTTCGCTTCTATATCTCATTCTGCTCTCTATTCTTTGAAATTCTTTTGCTTCCATACTCCTCCATGCTGCCCTGTGTGTCCTCTTGTGGTACCCCCTCTCGTTCGAGTCGACTCAAAAGTCACCTCTTTTGCTTCCATTCCATACTCCTCCATGCTGTCCTGTGTGCCCTCTTGTGGTACTTCCTCTCTTTCGCTCGTCGTCTATGCTGCCCCCCTCCTCCACCCCTCCTCCATGCCTCCCACCCAACGCGCTGTTTTCCTTCTCTCCGAACCATCCAGCCGAAGCGCCATGGTGGTCCGATAGTCCTTGCCTTCCGTGCGTGCTTCCCTGCTTCCCGTCTCCCCTGCTCTCCGCCTGTCTCACGATCCAGCTTCTCCCGACTGAGCTCCATGGTGTTACAGGACAATGAGGCAGCAGCCAATGAGGTGCGCCCTCCTCCTCCTAGTGACCCAGTATAATATAGTATGAGGTGCCACAGGACAGTGCTACAGCAGCCACTGAGGTGAGCCCACCTCCCAGTGACCCAAATTCTGCGTGACTCAATATCTGGGTGGCTCTTTGTCTGGGTGACTCATTGACAGGGTGAACCAAGCTTCGTATTTGATCTGTGAGCCCCTTGCTCATACCGCCAATCGTAATTTCTTCCTTGTGTTCCTCCTGGTAACCACACCACACCCATCGATATCAAACCACACCCATCGTTCAAACCCATCCACACCCATCCAAACCCATCCACACCCATCCAAACCCATCCACACCCATCCGCACCACCAATGACCCCACATCCCAGGTAGCAGAGGAGACGGTGTCTCTCGTTCGAGTGGTGCGGACGTTTGGCACGGAGAGCGAGGAGGTGAAGAGGTGAGGTGGAGGGGGAGGAGGTGAAGAGGTGAGGTGGAGGGGGAGGAGGTGAAGAGGTGAAGGGGAGGGAGGAGGCTGTCAGGTGGCAAGTGAGGCGGTCAGGCGGCAAGTGAGGCGGTCAGGCGGCAAGTGAGGCTGTCCTGTTTGCTGTACGTAGGTCCCTCATCTCCTGCATTTTATTCCAATCCACTCCGTTCAGTGGCCGCTGGAACTGCGTGCGCTATGATATGCCCTGCTCTAATGCGTTGGTGCGGGTTCGATTCCCGCTACCGGCTATATTCACTTGTGCCATACCTTGCCTTGCCTTGCCGTGCCTTGCCATGCCTCGCCAGGTACGACGAGCCGCTCAAGAGGCTAGTGGAGGTGGGGCTGCGGCGGAGTGTGGCCAACGGGTTGTGGACGTGCGCTGACAACATTGTCTATAACGCCTCCATGGTGCATGGTGGAGCAGGTGCATGGTGGGCCACTCTAATGGACTCTATTGGCGCCTGCCACCGCGTGTTCCAGCTGCTGGACCTGCCAAATCCGGAGCAGCTCAATAAAGGCCATGGTGAGTGTATGAACGCCAAATGGATGGGTACAACATCCGAATGGATGGCTCGTATGGGTGAGCACTGGGCCACCCTCATGGACTCAATCGGCACCTGCCGATTCCAGCTGCTGGACCTGCCGCACCCGGAGCAGCTGTCACAGGGTCATGGTGTGTGGGAGGGCGCATGGAGCACCATGGTGCGTGCCACGGAGCCACTGAGTCATGGCTAAAGGCGATTGTGAGGCCTCGCTCGTGTGTGAGTCACTTGTGCTGCATGCTGCCATCCCTCACATGCTGCCATCACTCACATGCTGCCATCACTCACATGCTCCCATTTCTCCTCTGCTGCCTCCCTGTCTCCCTCCAGGCCGAGTGCTGCCGTCGCTGAGCGGCAAGCTGGAGTTCCGCAATCTCTCCTTCCGCTACCCCACCCGCCCTGAGGTGCGCCCACCCGCCCTGAGGTGCGCCCACCCGCCCTGAGGTGCGCCCACCCGCCCTGAGGTGCGCCCACCCGCCCTGAGGTGCGCCCACCTTTATTACCAAACTGCTCACTATCCCGCTCCAAGCATCGAGTCTACCCTGGGGTGCGCCCCACCTTTCTTCCCTCCCTCCCTCCCGCCCCACGCCCCCTGCAGGCACTGGTGCTGGAGGGTGTAAACCTGACCATCCATGCAGGAGAGCTGTTGGCACTGGTGGGGCACAACAGCAGCACGGGAAAGCGGACTCACGTCACTCCCCTTTCCCCTCTCCCCTCTTTCCGATTCCCTGCGGGCACTGGTGCTGGAGGATATAAACCTGACCATCCAACCAGGCGAGCTGGTGGCGCTGGTGGGGCACAACGGCAGTGGCAAGAGCACCCTCCTCAGGCTGCTGCAGCGCCTCTACGAGCCCTCAGAGGGGCAGGTGAGATGGGCGGGTGAGATGGAGGGAGGTGAGTCACATGCGGGTGGCTGTAGTTTGAGGTATATTGATGGTTGATACCGTTGTGCATGATTCATACTGTCTGTAACTCCTCTGTCTGTCTGTTCACAGGTGCTTATAGACGACGTGCCTCTACCAGAGATTGACATCGCTTGGCTAAGAAGCCACATTGGCGTCGTTAGCCAGGTGAGCTCGCCTCCCTGCCTGCTCCATCCCCACCCATCCTGAATCATCCCAATCCATCCAGACCCATCCTGATCCATCTAAACCCACACACTCACTACTCTCACCACACACTCACCACTCTCACCACACAATTCATGTATGTATGGCAAATGATTCAGACTCATGATGGATTAGCCTCCAGCCACATATGCGCACGTGGACCATGCACACATGAGTAGTATCAGCACTCGTGCACTCCTCCCTCCCCATTCCGCATACTCTTCCTCAGGAACCCCTGCTATTCAGCAGAGATGTGGCATCCAACATTGCATACGGAAGCAGCAAGGAACTTTCTCGAGAGGACATTATCCGGGCAGCTACCCAGGCCAACGCGCATCAATTTATTTCCGAGCTGCCCGAGGGTTACGACACAGTGGTGGACAACGCCCGGTTGAGCGGCGGGCAGAAGCAAAGGATTGCGATTGCTCGGGCTTTAGTGCGCGATCCCACTTTGCTGTTCCTGGATGAAGCCACAAGTGCCCTAGATGCTGAGAGTGAGCACTACGTGCAGGTGAGGGGGGAAGAGGAAAGGAGTGGAGGGAGGGTAGGTGGGAGAACGGGCAGTATGTGTAGGTAAAGGGGAGATGGGAGAGTGCATGAGCACTGAGTGTTGGAGAATGAGTTTTGGAGAATGAATGTTGGACTAACGGTCTCTTGTCCCTTCACCCCTTGCTGTCCCTTCATTCCCCCGGGCTGCTGCTTCCATGAACCGTTGCTGCTGCTCTCCCAGTCTGTTTTTATGCATCCGCTCTTTTTTTACTCTCACGTGCTCTCTGCAGATGGCATTGAACCAAGTCATTCATGATGACTCCCATGCTAGTGGGGGCAGAAGGCGAACCAGAGTGGTCATTGCACATCGGTACGCTGTGGCCAGCCAGGCAGATTTTCCTCTCCTCTCCATCAATTTGTTCTCAGCCAGTGCATGCTTGTCATAGTGCCCCGCTCCTCAACACATGCTATGTTCGTAAAGTTTGCTGCTTTTATTCTCTCTCTCCCCACTTTCGTCCCTGACATCATGCTGCCTGTTGCCCATTACCAGGCTATCCACCATCCGTTCTGCGGATAGAATAGTGGTTGTGTCTCATGGGAAGATCATCGAGGTGAGTAAAGCACTTCTTCATTCGTCCAGTGCATTTGTCCGTCCGACCGGGAAGTCCGGTACATTTGTCCAGCCGACCCGCTTTTGCTCATTGGCATATTCATTCTCTCTGGTTCATGCTCTCAGGTTGGCACACACGAAGAGCTGATGGCGCGAAAGGGGGCGTACATGGAATTGCACTCAAGGCGAGATGAAGCCCTTGCGTCCCACTGAATGTTGACACGCAATCCGTGTTTCCACCAGCTTGTGCTTTAAGCAACTTGAAGGCAAGGGATACATTCTTGCTTTATAAAACATATATATTTATTGTAATATAAGCTAGGATATATATGCATTTCTATATATTGAACTGTAGCGTTTGTGTCGAATTTGTACGAAATAAGAGAAAATTTCGGCTCCAGGCAAACACTAGATCGGAAAATGCAAAAACAAGCAAACCAGGAGCTAATTCAGTTGACCATCATTCAAAAAGAAGATGCCATCTAAAGGTGTGTTTGTTTCACATGTTCATGAGCCACTCGTATGCACTACAAAAACATAGGGTATGTAAGTGTTTAACCAGTAAGGTACCTGTTAGCGGAGACGATTCTCGAGTTTCTGCTCCTTCAAGGCTCGATTGTTGCTGTGAATTTGTTAGCTTCAGAAAGCTTTGCAGGAACCACGACGAGCAATGGTAGGAGCTTTTGTACAGTAGCTAGTCCCCGTTTCGCGCTCGCTCCTTTCGGTCGTTAGTTTTCGTGCCAACTGACGTGCGGTTTTTGTGAATACTTTGTCGCTTATTTCGATCAGGATCCAAGCATGTCCCTCCCGCATCTTGAGGCTCCCCGCGATGTTCTGCGATCTGGTCTCCATCAGCTTCGCGACGAAGTGACTTTTGCTCATCCAGTAGACGGAATTCAGAGACAGGTGCGTGATGGCTTTTTTCCCTGTGCCTTAAGGCGAGTACGTCTGCGCACCGGTATCCAGGTATGACCTTGGCTCACGCTGTCCGCCCCCCCTGTGTTCGTTTACCCACATATGGCTACCCTAAAACGTTTGCGCACCAGATTTCAAGTATACGATCATCTGTTTGCTAGAGATTTTTTGTTTTGTAGCAGTCGTCACCTTATGGCTTGCTAGTTCGGCTACCCTTTTCTTTCAATCTCTGGCCATAACACCTATAGGCCGAGAGATGTTCCTTGCGCAACGAATGAATGGGTATTGATAGCCCCCTGACAAATTTCGGTCTTATTGTCTCTGAATTGCTGTTTTCAGAGAAGGAAGGAGCAGGAGGGAACTGTTGACATGAACTTGGGTAGGGTCTACGGTTCCGCTTTCCCTGCTCAGCTGCACATGGAGCGGCAAATACTTTCCAAGTAAGGCTGATCAATGTCCAGATATTCCGTCCTGGATATGAATCATTGATGCTGCTGCTGCTGGTGTCAGTTCGCTGGCGGCATGGTGATGGCGAAATCTGCACTGATTCATGTGTTTTCCACTTATGCGTTTTCAGATTCAAGAGGTTGCCCGGTCTGCCATCATCCCACCTGGGCCTGCATTCAATGATGGGTACTCTTGATGAGCTCGCAGTGGAAGATGTGGTTGGTAAGTGGCCCCTAGTGCATTCCCTCAAACTGCTACAATTTTTTAGCCATTGTAAGCCATCACATCTTTGTGATTTTTTACCTCTTTTTACATTCCTAATGCTGTTTTCCTTATATCGTGCAGGGTATGGAGATAAGGTGGAAATTCCCCGTGTTGACTTGCATGAGATAATGGAATACAAGCTTGGCTTCTAGCAGCTCCTTCGGGACCATATTTGCATGATAGAACATTAATATGATAGTCTTATGCATTCTATGCTGTTCTTACAGATAGTGACTAGTTGTTCTTTAAACCTGTACCTGTACAGTTACATTCAATACTCCAGCTTGTCTCCACTATTGAGTTGAGGGCTACTGCTATGCCCATATGCTGCGATCACTGACCACCATGCTGTGGCCAAAACAGTTCCCTATGCCCGCCCACCCAACCCAATCCCACTCCCCAGAACCACCACCATCTGGGCAGGTCACTTTCCCTTGTGGCTCGACAAAACACCACCACTCTGTACGGTGTACCGTTTTTGTTGGGTGCATGTCTGTAGTGACGCTGTAGCTGCAGGAAGTCTCAGCGCAAGTGAAACAAGTCATTGGGGATTCTTTCACTTCCAGCCATGAGGTCCGGGGAAGTTAGCTGACAGGCTTATTGCCATCAGTGGTACGACGTTAAGGATAGTTTTGTTCTTCGCGTCATCATTTCGGCGTTAGTAGGAAGTAACGCAACTGTTTGATTGAGAAGCCGGCCGTTTTTTTACGAGCCGCCATGGCTTACGACAGCGCGGTTGTTCTATTATGCCTCTGTATCGGCATCAGCACGCCTGCTGAGAGCTGCTAGTACTCGTACTAATAGTAGCAACCGCTGTCTCGCCAACAGCATGGACTCGCCTCAGCTTCTGCTGCACCCACCAACCAAGGCTACTGATCCGGACGAACGGCTCTTGCCACGTGGCATCACCGAAGCGGCCGTCATCAGTATCGACCAATCGCCGCAGGCGGACCTTGCGCGGGTGATCCAAGGCGCACTGACTGGCCTCCCCGTGCTGCCCTCGTTCCGCGCGGAAGACTGGGACCTGGAGCAGGGGGAGCCGCGTGAGGCGCAGGGCGCAAGCGGGGAAGAACCCGCGGGGGATCGGTCAGGCGCGGTAGCAGGCGTCGGCGATATAGGCAGCCTTGGGATTGACGCGCTTTCCGCAGCAGCGAGAGCAGGCTCAGATGCTGCACGGGGAAGAGAGGAGGACGACGCGGGGAACAGAGAAACGGGTCGCGAGGGGAGACAGGAGGCCGAAGTTGAGATTGTCGGGGCGAGTAGAGAACGAGGCGATAACGAAGAGCACTCGCCAAGTGATGAGGAAGGGAGCAGTTCAGGGGAGGACGACGTCGAGCTAAGTCATTCCGACACCACGGACCCGTCGTGCACCTCAGACCCAGTCTCCACATGCTCATCCGCGGCAATCATAGCGTGCTTTGTGCACGGGGCGGACCGGCCGCTGTGGCCCTTCTGCGTGGACGCGCGGCGGCTGTGGTGGTACTGGCGCGCGCTGCTGCTGCTGCTGGTGGCGGTGGTGCTGTACGGCGCGTCGCTGGGCATGGCGTGGCTGGGCAAGATCGGGGACGCGCTGCTCGTGCCCTGCCCCGTCTGGCCCACCTCTGGCCTCGCGCTCTACGCTGTGCTCGTGAGCCTAGCTGTCCCTATTCCTGCAACCCTATGCGTGCACCAAGTCCTTGCAAAACTATTTCTTTCTGCAGCCCCACCCCACCCAGCAACCCTACTTCTTGAAGCCCTATCCTTGCATGCTCCTGGTGTTTCAGAATCCCGTTTCCTTTTCCTCCACGAGCCCATCCTTCCACTCCCTCTCCCCCCCCCCCACCCCCCCCCTCCTCCCCTCCCCCATTAGGTGTTCGGCATGGGCACATGGCCAGGCATATTCCTGGGCGGCGCACTCCTCGTGTACACTGGGGCCGCATGGCACCTCGCTGAACACCTCTCCACCCTGCAGATCGCCCTCGCATCCCTCACAATCGCAGCCTTCCTCACAGCGTCCGTGCTCTGCCTCTCCTTCCTCACACGCGTGTTGCACCGCCTACGCCCCCACGACCTCACCCCTCTGGACCGAGTGAAAGACATCTTCCTCTTCGCCCTCTTCTCCTTCTTGGTCTCTCTGCTCTTTGAAGGGGTTGTTGCTGTCCTAGTCAGCGCATGGGATGCTGACCTGGCGGGTGACAGCGTGGCAGTGGCAGCAGGGCTGCGCACGCTAGGGACGTTCACGGGGATCATGCTGACGGTGCCGCTGCTCCTGCAGCTCACCGCCTCCTGCCTGTGCTGCTGCGCCCGGCAGCCCAGCCAGGAGGGGAAGGAAGGGAAAGAGGGGCAGGAGGGGAAGCAGGGACAGGAGCGGGAGGAGGGGCAGGAAGAGGAGGAGGGGCTGGGCGCCGTTGAATCGCCTCGGTCCGAAGCAAATTCCGTCTTTGCTTCTTCCACGCGTCTCCAGCCGCCCCTGGGCGAGCAGCATGGGCGACGGCCCGTAAGCCTGGTGACAGTTGTAGGTGTGGGGAGAGAGGGTGTGGGGAGCGAGGCAGACTTGGAGTCGGTGGGAGACACGGTAGGCAGCAGCGCAAGGCTCCACACCCCCCCCTCCTTCCGCACTCTGCCCTTCCCCTCCCACCTCCCCACCCACCCCCCCCACTCCAACCCCAACTATTTATCGCTCCGCCGCCCCATCCATTACCACCTGAAAAAACTCCTGAAAAACCCCCTGGTGGTCAGCATCCGGGACACCCTTGCCTCCCTGCGCTTCTGGGAGTTCATCTTTCTGTTGCTTCTAAACGCTGCCACGGCTTGTCTTATCTTCTCCACACCTGCAGCCCCCAGTACTTCCTCCTCCACCACCACTGCTGTCCCTGCTGCTACTACTGCCACTGCCGCCCTCCCGTATCTTCTCTTCCCGGGGGTCCTCTGGGCGTGCATTCGCTTCCACCGCAAGGGCTCGGGGCTCGTACTCGTTATAGTCGTCCTCATTGTGTGCTTCTGCACGGCGCAGGGGCGTGGGCCGCTGGTGAGGGATTCCGCGAGTGGGACGGTGCTGCAGGTGCAGGTGCTGGTGCTGGTGCTGAGCTTGGGCGCTGTGCTGCTGGCAGCCGCTGTGAGAGACACCAGGCGCCTGCGAGAGGGGCTGAGGCAGCTCAACCTTTCTCTAGAAGGGGAGGTGGCGAGACGGACCGAGCAGATGCAGGCAGTCAATGAGGTGAGAATGAGGTGGCAAAGGGGGGAGGAGGAGGAGTTGAGGCGAGCAGCTCTGAAGCTGGGCGTGAGCGGTTAAGGCAGCTGGTTCTGTCGCTGGGGAGCGAGGTGGCCTGAGGCACCGCGCAGATGCAGGCAGTGAATGAGGTGGGGAAAAGGAGACAAGGAATGTGCTGGAGCCAAGTGGCACGAGCAATGAGCATCCACCCTGGCTTGCTTGTTAACCGCGCTGTCTCTCCCTCCCTGTGTGCGTGTGTGTGAGTGTGTGTGCTTGCAGGATCTGAAGAGGTCCAAGGAGGAGTTGGAGGAGGCAGGGCGGGCCAAGACAGAGTTCCTGGCCAACATGAGCCATGAGATCCGGTACGTGCAAGCAGAGCGCCTGCCAAACTCCACAGTTTACCATCGCACCCGCACCACCAACCTTCCCACAGCTCACTGAGGGTAGCCTCAACGCATGGCACCTCTTGCTGCTCCACTAGCACTCCCATCCACGCGGCTCCAGAGCAGCATCATCGGCATGACAATCCTGCCCCTCGCGCTCTCATATACTCCACCTCCCTCCCTCCCTTCCATTCTCAACACTCCCGCTTCAAACTCTTCCCCCCTCTCTCCCCCATTCTGCCCTGCCCTCCACGCCCCTATCACCTGCCACACCAGCACGCCCATCCACGGCATCATCGGCATGACAGCACTGGCTCTAGACGCCCTCGAGTCACTCCACGATCCCCACGACCCCCACGACCTCGCCACTCACCCTTCCGCTGACGCACTGGCGCTGCGGAACGATCTGACGGTGGAGCTGCACGAGCATCTGACGGTCGTGGCGCAGTCTGCGGATTGCCTGCTGAACATCGCCAACACCGTTTTGGACCTGGCGAGGATAGAAGCGGGGCAGCTGGCGCTGGATAAAGTGCCCTTTGCGCTGAGAGATGTGGTGGGGTCCACCATGCGCATGCTGCAAGTGAGTTGAGAGAGGCGGGTTTGAGGCACCGTGAAGGGGACGACTATACTGGGGTCCTGTGCACTGTGCATGCCCTGTGCACTGTGCATGCCCTGTGCACTGTGCATGCCCTGTGCACTGTGCATGCCCTGTGCACTGTGCATGCCCTGTGCACTGTGCATGCCCTGTGCACTGTGCATGCCCTGTGCACTGTGCATGCCCTGTGCACTGTGCATGCCCTGTGCACTGTGCATGCCCTGTGCACTGTGCATGCCCTGTGCACTGTGCATGCCCTGTGCACTGTGCATGCCCTGTGCACTGTGCATGCCCTGTGCACTGTGCATGCCCTGTGCACTGTGCATGCCCTGTGCACTGTGCATGCCCTGTGCACTGTGCATGCCCTGTGCACTGTGCATGCCCTGTGCACTGTGCATGCCCTGTGCACTGTGCATGCCCTGTGCACTGTGCATGCCCTGTGCACTGTGCATGCCCTGTGCACTGTGCATGCCCTGTGCACTGTGCATGCCCTGTGCACTGTGCATGCCCTGTGCACTGTGCATGCCCTGTGCACTGTGCATGCCCTGTGCACTGTGCATGCCCTGTGCACTGTGCATGCCCTGTGCACTGTGCATGCCCTGTGCACTGTGCATGCCCTGTGCACTGTGCATGCCCTGTGCACTGTGCATGCCCTGTGCACTGTGCATGCCCTGTGCACTGTGCATGCCCTGTGCACTGTGCATGCCCTGTGCACTGTGCATGCCCTGTGCACTGTGCACTGTGCATGCCCTGTGCACTGTGCATGCCCTGTGCACTGTGCATGCCCTGTGCACTGTGCATGCCCTGTGCACTGTGCATGCACTGTGCACTGTGCATGCCCTGTGCACTGTGCATGCCCTGTGCACTGTGCATGCCCTGTGCACTGTGCATGCCCTGTGCACTGTGCATGCCCTCTGCACTGTGCATGCCCTGTGCACTGTGCATGCCCTGTGCACTGTGCATGCCCTGTGCACTGTGCATGCCCTGTGCACTGTGCATGCCCTGTGCACTGTGCATGCCCTGTGCACTGTGCATGCCCTGTGCACTGTGCATGCCCTGTGCACTGTGCATGCCCTGTGCACGTAAATTCTAATTGCTGCCTCTGGCCCGCCCCTCCCACCTCCACACCCCCCTATCCCATCTCCTCCCACAAGTGCGAGCAGAAGCAGCTGCTGTTCTCATGGCAGGTGGCGGAGGGACTACTTTGAAAATTCTCAATAGTAATTTCAAATTTCAATGCCTCTGTCCCTGCCTGTCTTCCTTCCCACCCACAGGTGCGCGCGGAGCAGAAGCAGCTGCTGTTCTCATGGCAGGTGGCAGAGGGCGTGCCGCACACATTGGTGGGGGACCCAGGCAGGCTGCAGCAGTGCATCATCAACCTGGGTAAGTCCACTCGGCCGATTCTCATACCCTTTTTTGGCTTGTTCTCCCCAGTGTTGTCATGGTTGCCAGTGTTTTCGGTGTGTTCATGGTTCCCTGTCTTAATTGTGCTTTGTTGGGGGCAGCACGTGCACGTGAGGTGCCAGCTTACTCACCATCTACCACTTTTTTTCTACCACCCCTTTGTCCTGGTGCGGTTGCCTGGGTCATGCATGACATGGCATGGCATGACACGGTATGGCGTGGTACGACATGGCATGGCATGGCATCAAATGGAATGGCATGGCTTGATGTGCCATGGCAGTGGGAAACGCGATTAAGTTCACCCACCAAGGGTCGGTGGACCTTGAGATCACTCTGCTCTTCCGGCCCCCCTCCCGCACGCGGCACCACGGTAGAAGCGCGGGCAGCAGCCAGCAGCAGACGCAGAGCAGCAACAGCAGCAGCATGCAGCACAAGGCACGCAGCAGCAACAGTGGTAGCCACCATCACACCCACCGACAGCACCAGCAGCAGCAGCAGCAGCAGCAGCAGCAGCATGATCGACAACAGCACCAGCATCAGCAGCACCAACGGCAGCAAGAGCAAGAGCAGGAGCATGAGAAGCAGCCAGAGCAAGAGAATCAGGAATCCCATCATCCAGACGAGCAGCAGCAATTGCAATACTCACCTCTGTACGTCCCTCGAGCTGCCACGTGCCCTCATTCCTCCTCCCCTCCGCATTCCCCTCCGCTCACCCCTCCCCCCTCCCGGGAAGGCCCCGAGGGATCCTTATCTGCTCGTCTCTCCGACCCCCTCCCCCATTCCATAGCTGCTAACCGCAGCAATAACAACCAGCCCAACAGAAACGCTACCCACACTGACCCTAGGGCTAACACCAACAGAATCACCAACTCCAACGCTAACCCTAGCATTAACACCAACGTGTTTATTCCCGCGGAGGTTTCTCGTGCTCTCCGGCAGCGAATGCTTGAACAAGGTAATGCAGGGGCATGGAGCAACCTCCGTCCGCAGGTTGATGTGGAGACAGGGACTTGCAGGGAGAGAGGGCAAGAAGCTGTCAGTGATGGGAAGGAGCGAGTAGGCAAGACGGGGAGGCACAGGCATAGGCGCAGGCACCGGCACCGGCAGGAGAACGGTGATGCAGGGAGGAGCTCAGGGAGAGAGAGTGGGGATTGGGGAGGTGGAAGAGGAGTAGAAGAGGGGAGAGAGGTGTGTTCAGGGCCAGAGAAGGTGGGTGAGGGGTTTGGGAGAGAGGAGGGCAGAGGGGAAGGGAGCAGGAGGGAGGGAGGGAGGAGTGTGAGTGAATTCAATAGTGGTAGAAGCGATGCTGCTTGGTATTCAGACTCTTCTGCTCGTCCAATAGCTAGAGCGACTCATGCAAGCTTGGTTAGGTCCGAGAGTGACCAGGCCAAGCTGTTTGGCCCGGGTGGGAGGAGTGGGAGGAGACGACCGGGCGCACACGAGCAAAGTAGCGATAGGGTGGGGATGCCTCAGAGTGGTTGGTCAGACACTGGTGATTCAGACACGAGTGACAGGGACGCTGCTGCGAGGGCTAGACAGACTCTGGACTCCTTTCGAGCCCAGCTGCTCTCTGCCAGCCAGCAGTCAGAGGGCTCCTCTCTTCCCACTGGTCATCGCAGACGCAGGAGCAGAGAGAGCAGACGGAGCAGAGGGAGCAGGGGAGGCGGCAAGAGCAGTGGGAGCAGCAGCAGCAGCGGCGGTAGCAGCAGCAGCTCAGAGGAAAACAATCACAATAATGCTCATCATACCCATGCTAATGACAACGACGACGATGATGGTATTGACATCACGCCTCGAGCAGTGATGAGTAGCAGCAGCAGCTGCCTACGCACCATCGGGAGAATAGCAGCAGCAGGGCTCGTCTCCTCCTCCTACCCCTCCCTCCCCTCGCACTCCGCCCAGCGCGCAGCAGAGCGGCCCCTGTTGGGCCCCAACTACCAGGAACGCGGGGATTCAAGCTCAGGGGGGGAAGAGGCGTTGGGGGGTGCGATGAGAGCGAGAGGCATGCCGCGATCTGCCACTGAAGGCTCACCTGGGGGGTCTGGGGTGGTGGGTTCTGCCCGGAAGGGCGGGTCTGGGGTGCTGGGCTCTGCACTAAAGGGGGGAACTGGTACCGGTGGCGCTGCTGGTGGTAGTGGTGGTAGTGGTGGTGGTGGTTCTGGTGGGTCAGGGGGCTTTCCCAGAGGGGTTTCACTCAGTGCGTCTCGATCCGGGTCGAGGAGTGTGTCAAGAAAAGGGTCGAGAGCCAACCTTGCTGTGTGGTTTGCTGATGCTGCTGATGGGGGCAGTGAGGCAGAGAGACACGCAGCAGGTGGGCCCTCTGCTGCAGCAGCACCTGAAAATTCACCTGAGGAGATGGCAGGTGTTGTGTGCCTGAGGTCAGGCGACCGGGAAGGAGCAGGGGAGGGGCGAGGAGAGGGTGAGGGCACGGGGAATCTGGGGAGAAAAGGGAGCAAAGGGTCAGGAGCATTCAAGTCGAGCGCAGAGCTGCAGTGGTCGGACCTTGGCAGTACATTTGTGAGGAGGGAGGGCGCAGAGGCTGGAAGCAAGGCAGCAGCAGGGAAGAAGGTCCGAAGCCCCCCTCTCTCCTCAAAGGTCTCTGAGGATGCAAGCTCGGGAGGCCGAGTGGGGGAGCGAATGGGGTTTTCCATCGGTACTGCGGCAGCGGGGGGGTCTCAGGCGGTGCCTGCACTAGTTGCAGCCTTCCCCCGGGCTGTTTCAGGGGGGTTTCAGGACAAGCCTGCGGCGAACATTTTCAGCATGGGATCTCTAAAGAGTCAACCCAGCAATGCCTCTTCTGTCTTCAGCCGCAGCAGCAGCACCCGCTCCCGTGCCTTCCCCCCAGACTCTCTCGTTGCTGCCTCCGAGCCTGCTATGTACCCCACTGCCTTGGACTCGTCTTTGATTATCCCTGCATCTGACCCTGCTCTAAGAAGCCGGCTAGACCACACTTACCTAAGTGTCAGTGGGAGCGCTGGTGCGAGGGTAGGCATGAGTGGGCGGATGGGGGGGGAAGCGGCCGCACGGCCGATCAGCAGAGGGGGGTTGGGGAGGAGCAGAAGGAGGAGGGGCAGCGGGCGGGAGGGGGAGATGGTGGGATCGAGTATGGGCTCTGGCATGTGGGGCATGTTGAGCAGGAGAATGGACAGCGGTTGGTCTGGTCAAAGCGGGGAGTCTGGGAGGAGAGCAGGTGGGTCGGGGAGGGGGGTCGGAAGAGGGGGAGGCAGAGAGGAGGAGCAAGTGGAAGGGGAAGTGGAAGAGGAGGAGGAGAAGGAGGTGTGGATGCTGGTATCGGTGAAGGACACGGGGATTGGCATCAGTGCAGAGAAGCAGGGGAAGATTTTCCACAACTTCGTGCAGGCGGACACATCGTACACGCGCGACTATGGGGGAATAGGTCTGGGCCTCAGCATCGTGCAGAGGTGAGTGTTTTTCCCCGCTCATATCGTCCGGGGGATAAATGTGGGGATGGTGAGGTGGGGGTGCAAAGCGTCCTTAGCATTGCATTGTTTCACTATGATGTGCTCTTCACAGCCTTCCCCCCTGCCCCTCCCTGCCTTTCCCTGCTCTTCCTCCGTGCCTTACCCGTTTCATCACCAGCACCCCATTGCTTCCCCCCCTGGCCCCACATAGTCTGGTGCACATGATAGGCGGAGAGGTGTGGGTGGAGAGCGACTTGGGCAAGGGACCGGTCCTTTGTGTGACGTGCAGCTGACGTCATGTCTCCCCCCACCTCCCTGCCTCTCTTTGCCTCCCTGTTCCCCCCCCCCTTCCCGCACCACCCCACACAGTCTGGTGCACATGATGGGGGGAGAGGTGTGGGTGGAGAGCGACCTGGGCAAGGGCTCCACATTCTTCTTCACAGCCCGCCTCGACACCGCCCCTCCCGGCACCACCACTCCCACACACCCCCCCCAGGCCTTCGACCCATCTGCTCCTCCTTCTCTCGCCGCCTCCTCCTCTCTCTATGCGCTTTCTTCTGAACTTCCCCCGGGGTTTCCCCTCGCTGGATACGGGGCTGAAATCGCTCGGTTTGACTCTTCTATGAGCATGTCGGATCACGGGGCTTATAACGAGTATGTTTCATTACAAGGAGGAGCCTCAGCAGAACACACACCTGCTCGCTCGGTGTATGCATCAGCTCGATCGGGGTACACTACGGAGTTCGCCACCGCTCCTCAGTCCCCTCTAGATTCCTCCCCTGAAAGCCCCCCTCTCGTCCCTGCATTGCCTCCCTCTCACTACCCGAGTGCGCACTACCCCAGTGCCAGCCCTGCCACCATGCCTCTTCCTCTCTCCCTCTCCTCTGATTCTACCCAATCTGCACCCCCTTTTGCTGCTGCTGCTGCTGCTCCTGCTGCTGCTGGAGCGATTGCTTCTTCTTCTCCCGTCCCTGCTGCTGCTCCCTCTGCTGCGTCGTCTCCAGCAATCCACTCTTCAAACCACACTCCACCCCCACGCACCCCTCGCTCCCTCCTCCGCATTCAGCCCCCCGCGCCCCTGCTCTCAGCAGCCTCTCTTCCCGCTGCCAGTGCCAGGGCAGGGGGGAGGTTGCGAGGAGAGGAGGGGGAGAGTGATGATGGTGCAAGGAGCGGAGGGGAGAGTGGGCAAGGAAGTGCAGGCGGGAAGGGGGGGCTGTTCATCCCTCCCTCCGTCACACTCCCTTCCACCCTCTCCATCCCCAGCCCTCGCCCCTTCCCAACCTCCACCTCCGAAGGCCGGCCCCCTTCAGCATGTTCGGCGTACTTCTCAGGCCCGGTGTTAGGCTCGGGAGGAAGACCAGCAGCCACAGTGCGCCCGAGCCTGCAAACCATACCTGCGGACGCGTCATCCCCGAGCCTGCCTTCTCCGAAGCTGCTATCACCAACGTGGTGGCACTCAAATAAGCTGCCGTCGCCCACAGGGAGCAGAGAGGGCGCAGGCGCACATGGCGCAACCCCCCCTGCTGGATTCGCAGGGGCACATGGTGCAACCCCCCCTGCTGGCTTTGCTGCTGCGCCTCTCTCCACGCCCTCCCCCCGTGGCCGCCGCATCTGGAGGGATTTAGAGGACCCCTCTCCCCGTGCTGCCGCTGCCTTTGCCGCTGCTCCCTTCTCCCCACGGACTCCGAGAGGGTGGGGGGTGGCCAGGGGGCACAGGGTTGCAGGGAGTGGCGGGTGGGGGGGCAGCGGAGGGGAGAGTGGGGGAGGCAGTGGGGGAGGCAGTGGGGGAGGCAGTGGGGGAGGCAGTGGGGGAGGCAGTGGGGGAGGGAGTGGGGGAGGGAGTGGGGGAGGCAGTAGGGGAGGCAGCTTTGGGGGGAGTGTGCCGGGGATAAGGGTTGTTGAGGGGAGTGTACTAGTGCCTGGTAGTGGTGTTGTTTCTGCAGCGAAGTCAGGAGCAGAAGGGAGAGAAACAGGGGGGGCAGCAGCGAGAGACGGAGCAGGGGCAGCTGGGGTAAGAGAAACAGCAGAAGTAATCAGTTCCATGGGTGTGACACCCGCCGTTGCAGTATCAGGTGGAGGAGCAGCAGGCGTAACAGCAGGCACAACAGGAGGTTCTGCAGCAACAGCAGCAGAAGCAGCAGCAACAGCAGCAGAGGAGATGGGAGAAGCAGATGGTGTGTGCATGCGCTCACTCTCAAACACATCATCCACCGACGCCAATCCCCCTCCCTCCCCAGCAGCAGTGGCTAGAGGCAAGTCAGTGGCGGCACGGTCTGCAGCAGCACGTGCATTCTCCCGGGATGTGAGCCTCTCAGGGGGGATAGCAGGCTCACCTGGCTCCTCCCGCCGCCACCTCTCCCCTCCCCTCTCCAAACTCGCCTCTGATTCCTCTCGCTCTCTCTTTTCCCCAAATCTCGCCCGTCCTAGCGCCATGTCTCCGGACCAGGCCTCTTCTCCCGAGCCTGCGCAACCAGGCTCGGCAGCGTCCACCGGAGTCATGCAGCTGATAGACGATTGGGGCTTTCTTGCACCCGGACCTGCCACGGCAGTTCGGGCTGAGGGTGCAAACTTTTCTCCGGCTGCCCGACCGCTGGTTGCGGCATTACCTGCCCGGCGGGGGCATGCAAGCCACATCAGCATGGATGAAAGGTCGACCACGAGTTTCCGGTCCTCTCGGCCCAGCTCTGGCAGCGTGGCCACTGGGAGCAGTGGGGATGTCGATGCTGCTGATCTCGATGCTCTGACACCTGCTGCCCCCGCCGCTTCTGCTTCTTCCTCTCCTGTTACTGCTGCTGCGTCTGCTGCTACTGCTGCTGCTGGGAGTGTTGGGGCTGGAGCTGCTTTTAACACTGCGACTGCTGCCGCTGCTGCACCACCTTACAGCCTCATGGATGCTGCACCTGCCAACCCAGCAGGCCTGGCGGGCCAACGCATGGGGGTCGGCTCGGGGGCAATGCTGGGCACGTCTTGGGATGACTCCAGTACAGCAGCTCCGGCCCTCCGAACCTCCGCCCCGGGTCTGGCAAGCATGAGAGGCAGCAGGTCCGGAGGCAGCTACGAGCCTGCAGCAGCTGCGGCAGTGGCAGCATTGGAAGAAGAGCGCCTCACTACCAGCACCTCTAGAGGCGATGGCACTCCTGCAAGTGCGCTACCTCTGCCGGTTCATTCTTCCTCCCATGCACGCCCTTCAGTACTCGCATTTCCACTGTTGCACAGGAGCCCGTCCAACAAGGACCCTGCTCTCCCCTTGCCTACTCCTGCTCGCAGACGTTCCCCGTCCCTCTCCGCTGCTCCTGACGCCCCTGCTGCCTCTACTGCTGCTTTGGCTTCTGCTGCTCCCTCTGTTGCTGCTCCTTCTGCTGCTCCCTCTGCTTCTGCTACCACAGCCGCTGCTTCCTCTGCTGCTGCCTCTGCCTCTAGTACTGGCTCGAGTAACGCAGCTCTTGACGCCCCTCCCACCACATCCCCAGCAGCACCCAAATCCCCCCCTCTCGCTCCCCTCACCGCCTCTCCTCCTCCCCCCTCGCTCGCCCCTCTCCTCCCTCCCATGTTCCCTGGTGCCTTCCCACACTCTCCATGGCTGGGCCGGTCGCGCTCATACAGAGGCATGACAGCAGCAGAGAGAGAAGCACTGACTGCAGCAGCAGCTGTCACCGCAGCAGCAGCAGCACCAGGTGGTTTCTCAGGTGTGAGCCACGGGTTCCCAGGTGGTTTATCAGGTGGGCAATACCACCCGCTGCTGGGCTCTCTGCCTGAGCAGCAGACGCCTGCTGCTTCTGTGATTGTGTCTGACCCTGTGCTTTTCCAGCCAACCCCGCAGCAGAAGCAGCGACAAATTCTGCTCCTGCAGCAGCAGAAGCTGCAGTAGCTGAGGCTACAGCAGCAGCAACAACACGGGCAGAGCAAGCAGGACCCACAGCAGCAGCACGAGCAGCAAGACCAGCAGCAGCAGCTTCAACAACTCCACCAGCAGCAGCAGCAGCAGCAGCAGCAGGCGTGGCAGCGGCAGCAGATGCAGGAGCTAGAGCTGCGAAGCCGAGTGTCATCGCAATTCTACCGCTTCCCCCCGCCGCACCTCGCCTCCCTCTGGCAGCTCCCCCCTAGGCGCCTGGAGCACCGCCGCTCTGATCCTGGGCTGCTGCTGCTGCACCTGGCTGCTGTGGAGTCTGCTTCTGCTTTGCAGCGAGGGGAGGTGGCATCTGGGGAAGGTCAGGCGGCAGGGAAGAGAGAGGGAGGTTTGGCAGGGGGGGTGGGGAGAGAAGGAGGTGCAGCAGGCATGGCAAGAGCAGCAAAGGGTTCTGGTAGTGTGGCAGGTGCTGCTGCTGCTGCTGCTGCTGGTACGAATGGTACTGGTAAGGCTGCTGCTGCTGCTGGTGGTGCTGCTGCTAGCCATACCAAGGCTGTTAGGTTCGTCTCTCACACCAGGGCTGCTTCGTACGGCCGAAACTCCACATCAGGTTTGGGAGTGTTTGGTCCAGCAGCAACCAGAGACCCACCTCTGTTCGTCCCACCACCAGCACCAGCAACAGCAGCAACAGGAGCAGCAGGAGCAGCAACAGCAGCCCCGCTCCTATCTGCCCCGCTTCGCTCCGTGCGCTCACTGCCTGTTAAGCCCAAGCCAGGTCTCCTCCAGGGGCCTCCCTTCCCGCTGCCAGGCACCTCCTATGCACCCCAGCAGGCACAGCAGCAGACACAGAAGGCACAGCAGCAGGCACAGCAGCAGACACAGAAGGTACAGCAGCAGACACAGAAGGTACACCAGCAGACACACCAGCAGACACAGCAGCAGACACAGCAGCAGGCACAGCAGCAGACACAGCAGCAGGCACAGCAGCAGACACAGCAGCAGGCACAGCAGCAGACACAGCAGCAGGCACAGCAGCAGACACAGCAGCTGGCACAGCGGCTGGCACAGCGGCTGGCACAGCAGCAGGGAAAGCAGCTGGCACAGCAGGTGCATAGGGCCACCGCCAGCTCAGCCTCGCCAGCTCAACCATCCACACATCCACATCAGCAATCAGAGGCAGCAGCTGCAGGAGGGGTGCGATCGAGGCAGGGAGGTGATGCTGCAGCAGGTAGGGGTGGGCCTGCTGACACAGTCAGGGCCAAGTAGAGCCTGAAAGGATCAGCCTGGAAGGTTCAGAGACAGGTACATCTGCCAGCTCTGGTCGGCCCTCTTACTCCTCGTCCTCCTCCTCGCTCTTTTCCACCTCAAGCTCCACCACCACTGCCACTACCACTGCTAGCGCCACTGCTAGCACCACCAGCATCAGCAGTGGTGCTGGTGTTGCTGGCGGTGCCAGTGGCGCTGGGAGCATTGGTGTTGCTCCTCCGCTGGTGTCAACTGTACAGGCGTCACAGAGCAAGCCAGCAGCAAAATCCTCACCGTCTATAGAACCAGCTGCAGCATCTGGTGCACCAGCAGCAGCAGCTTCTCGAGCAGAACCAGCCGGAGCTATCGCACCAGCAACAGCATCTAGAGCAGCAGCAGCGCCAGGGGGTATAGCACCAGCGGCAGCAGCGCGGGTGCGCACGCCAGTGAAGTCCATGTCCGGCCCTCTGGTGCCCTCCAGCCGGGCACGGGGCCTGCTCTTACTGGCGGGGGTGCGCGTGCTTCTGGCAGAGGACAACATGGTCAACCAGCGCGTGGCCAAGCACGCTCTCACCAAGGTGGGCGCGACGGTGGAGATTGCTGGTAACGGACAGCTGGCGCTCACTGCCATTGAGGAGCGGGCGGCGTCGTTCGACGTCATTCTGATGGATATTCAGGTGATGGGAGGGTGTGGGTGATGGGGTGGAGTGGAGTTGTGGCGGTGTGTGCGTTAGCGAATGGTGTCCCATCATCTATTCGTTCTCTCCTTTCCTTTCTTTACTTCTGATGGCCTTGCACCCCATCTCATGTATTATTCCTCTGCACAGATGCCTGTTATGGATGGCTTGGAGGCAACAAAAAGAATCCGGCAATTTGAAGCAGGTAATGCTGGCAATAAAAGGTCCCCACAAGCAAGAGGGGGGATTCCCATTTTGGGGTTGACGGCACATGCCATGGCAGGGTATAAAGAACAGTTCTTTGAAGCGGGGATGGATGGGTATGCAGTGAAGCCGTTCAAAATAGAGCAGCTGTCAAGAGGAATCCAAGCAGTTCTCAAAGGGGAAAAGAATGTGGATGTCACGGTGATGTGAATGTAAGTTATGTGCATCATCTTATCAAAGTTCCATAGAACAGTGTTTTGGTCTAGTGTGGTCCCATTTCTCATGAATCTGGATGGCATTAGCCCCTACGCGACAGCCCTTGCCCAACCAACTGATCCTAACTGTGGCCCATCCAACATCCGAGACCTTCGTTACAAGCACTATTCCGTCCAGTCTTGAGGGAGCTGTTTCGTTTCTGTTTCTCGAAACTGTCGCCTAGTTTCGGGAATGCCGCGAGTCGCGACAAGTACTTCTTCCCTCCTCTCTCACTCAACTCTCTGCTGCTCCCACCCCACCAGCTCAGATCATCAGAATCGCATTTCCCATTCCTTGCAGTTTCACTCGTCCCATTCTAGATTCTGCATGACAATGCTTTAGGGAAGGAGATATTTCTCCGTTTCTCCCACTTGTTCCCTCGATCCAATGGACGACGACGAGCCTGTCCCTCAGCTGCTGCGATGCGAGGCTGTGCGACCCCGGAAACCGTCGCAGGACTTCCAAGCGACGGAAGTTCTTGCGACAAACAGTCACACATCGGTTTCGCCAGAGTCGCCGACCCTTTCGGACGACGAGAATCACGAGCTCGCAACGATGCCTTCCGCAGACACCGGATGGTTTGGTCCCGCGCAGGTCCGCGCAAGGATCCCTCCGCCACCTGCTTCCGCCAGGATGGGGGCAAACGCGGGGGGAGCCGGGACCGCCGCTGGCACCGGTGCAAGCGACTCACGCGGTTTCAACCGTTCGTTGTCGCAGCCGGCACGAAAGCTCAACGCGATCGACGGTCCGCGAAGACCGTTGGGCGCCGTGAGAGGGCAAATGCCCGCGCCAAATGCAGGCCCGGCAGCGTTTGCCCCGGGTAGCTTCAGCTCCGGACCTAACGGAGGTTCGGCAAGAGGAATGGCCGTGCCTGGTGGCGGAGTCTCCCGGCCGCAGCAGCCGCCGGCGCAGCCACCGCCGTCGGCGCAACCTTTCCAGCAGCCTCCGCAGCAGGGGGTGTACCCGCAGCGCCCCCCGGCGCAGCGGATGCATCGGCGCATGATGTCAGCATCGCGAGCTGAAACGAGCACGTGGGAGGTTCTGGATGTGAGCGGGGATGAGCCGAAGGTGCAGCAGGTGCAGATGCAGCGACTGCTGCTGACGCAGGAGCAGCACCAGCAGCAGCAGCAGTACCACCAGCAACAGCAGCAATACCAGCAGCAGCAGTACCAGCAGCAGCTGCAGCAGCAGTATCAGCGGCAGATATCGCTTCCGGTAATAGATTCAGCCAATCAGCGGCGGCTTCAGAAAGCCACCACTTCGCCGGCGATGCGGCCAGGGATGGTCGACTCCGCGGCTGCTGCCGCTGGCGCTGGGCGCGGGGGAGGCGCAAGCCACGCGCAGCGATTCGCGCCGCAGCCGCACGCCCCTTCGGCGCAGATGTCCGCCGCGCACCAGCACCAGTTGCGCCAGCAGGCATCTCCGCAACCCCCCGCTGCCCCCCCGGCGCTCCATTCGCGCGGGGCCCCTCCCCCAGTGCGCGGACACCGCCCGCGGATGCGGTCCATGGGTCAATTGGCGGATCTGCTCCCTGCGGACAGAGGGGGATTCGGGGGCGCAGGGGGCGGGGGTTTCGCGGGGGATGGCGCATCAGCTTTGGGGGATGGATTGGGGGTGGATCGGCTTGATCTGGAAGGGGAGCAAGGGGGAAGTGGTGGAGGTGGCGGATGGGGAAGTAGCGTGGAGGCGGGTAGCGGCCAGGTGTATTTAAGATCCAATACTGGTTCCGGGCATGCATTTTTTAGGTCGCATAGTGGCAGTGGTAACAGAATGGACGGCCTTCCCCCTGTTGCGACGGCAAAGCCGCCGCGCGCGCTTAGGAGGGTCAGCAGCGAGTGGGGTGAGCGGGGCGGAGAGGGGGAAGGCGCGGGGGGGCGCGAAGAGGGGAGGAGGCTCAGCGCGGGGGCAGTGGGGGGAATGAGCGCAGGAGGGGGGATGGGCGGAGTGCTCAGATCCGCCAGTGGGGGGAGTAATGAGAGAAGACCCGTGGGGGGAGTTGCGGGAGGAGCGGGGGGCGGAGTGGGGGGAGGAGGCAGCATGGGGGGAGGATTGGTGCGCGGAAGGGGCCAGTACGGGTCAGTGGTGGAGCGGGGGGCGCGGTATCAGCACCACCGCACCATGTCCCTCGATAGCTCCGCGCTCATGCAAGGCGGAATGGCCGCCCGCGGAGGGGGCGCAGGGGCGGCGCTGGGAGCAGGGGGAGGGGCAGGGGGAGCACCAGGGGGAGGGGTGGGCGGAGTGGGCGGAGCGGGGGCAGCAGGGGGGGCTGCAGGGATGGGCGTCGGCGGAGTGGCAGGGGGGATAGTTTCCCGGGCAGTAGCAGCAGCGGGACCAAGCCCCCGAACGCCTGAGGGGGAGGATGAAGCGACGAGGGTGCTGGAGCGGGAGTGGCAGATGGGGTGGGAACAGGAGCGGGAGGAGGATGAGGGGGGTCTACCTGGGATCGTGGGGGCGTCTGGGGAGCATGTGGGTAGCGGAGGCAGGGAGTATTCTCCTGGTGGCAGCAGCAGTGGGTATTCACCTGCGACTGTGAGAAGGGGGTCCCTGGGTGACGAGAGGGAGCAGGCGTTTCTCGCGCAGAAACGAATCGCCTTTCCGCATATGCAGCAGCAGCAGCAGTCGCCGCCGCAGCAACAGCAGCAGCAGCAGCAACAGAATCACTTCCATCAAGTGCCACAGCAAGTGCCACAGCAGCAGCTGAGTGCGTCATTCACAGCCCATGATGTTGCCATGGTGCCGAAAGGACTGCGCATTCAACAGCGACTGGACGCACTGGAGCAGCACAAGCAGCAGCAGCAGCAGCAACCACAGCTCAGTCACCCCTCCCTCCAGCACCAGCCGCAACACCAGCAGCAGCAGCAGCAGCAGGGGGTAGTCAATGCAGAAACACAGGAGGAGCGGAGGGGGTGGGTGGGGCCGCGGCGGCACCGCGTGGGGATGGACGCGGTGTTCCGCGCGTTTGTGCTGGGGCAGCCGTACAGCGACATAGCGGAGCAGTTTGAGGTGCGGCGCCACGAGGTGGTGGCCCTGGGCGAGTTCAGTGTCGTGCGCGTGTGCCGCGAGGTGGAGACGGGCGTCATGCTGGCATGCAAGACCATAGAGAAGGATTCTATTCACGTGAGTGAACTGGGTGGTTAGACGGGGTAACGAGGTGGTGGCCATGGGCGAGTTCAGTGTCGTGCGTGTGTGCCGTGAGGTGGACACGGGGGTCATGCTGGCGTGCAAGTCCATTGAAAAGGACTCCATTCACGTGAGTGCGCCGCTGGGGGGAGGTATCGAGCGGGTGGTCAGAGGAATTTTTGAGGTGTCTCGAAAGGTGAGTTCAGTGTCGTGCACGTGTGTCGCCTCATATATTCACTCCCTACCCTCACTCTCCCCATTCTTGCACCCCCTTCCTCCCCCGCACAATACCCTGGGTGCTGCGTGTGTGTGGCAGTCAGCGGAGGAAGCGCGGGACCTGAGGAGGGAGGTGGAGATGATGGAGCGAGTGGCGGGGCACTGCAATGTCGTGCGCCTTCACGCTGTCTTCGAGGACCACGAGGTGTGTGGGGTGCATTTGAACTAAGGTTTAAGAACACCGTGAGAAAGGAGCACACGAGAACCACGTGAGTGGGCCTTGGGCTGGCATAGTCGTGCTGCATGAATGCTTCCTCTTCACTCAGAGTGGACTATTGTCCGTCCCGGCCACTAACCACCAACAACCAACCCTCTCTCACGCCCATCTGCAACATCCTATTCGACGTTGATACTCCCATCTTCTCTCTCCACTGCACCCCACCTTTCCCCACTCCTCTCCCCTCTCCCATCCTGGGCGGCCAGAATATTCATCTCGTGATGGAGCTCTGTCGAGGGGGAGGCCTCTTCGACTACATGCGTACCAACGGACCACTCACCGAGCGGGCGGCGGCGTCTGTCTGTTTCCAGCTGCTGTCGGCATTGGATCACTGCCACGCGTGCGGTGTGCTGCATCGCGATGTGAAGCCGGAGAATGTGCTTCTAGCGAGGGCTGAGGGGGACTTTGGCAGCATCAAGCTCATCGATTTTGGAATTGCCGCTGAGCACCAACCAGGTAAGACCATTGGTAGCTAGCATTTATTGATTAACAGTTGTCATGTCCTCAGGTAATCTGAGTCGGCTCAAAATCACCTCTGATTTTGGGATTGCCGCTGAGCACCAACCAGGTAGAACCATTGGTAGCTAGCAGCCTGTATTGATGCTCACCAAACCTGCTGCAATGGGTGCATTGTCATGCCTTCAAGCCTTCTACACTCCCCTGCTCACCTCCCTTCACAGCTTCACTTCCATCACTCCCAGCACTTCCGTTACTCCCATCGCCCCACTAACACCTTGTCCCTTGCTCCTCCGTCCTCCCTCCTGCAGGCGTGCGCAGCAGCACCCTGTGTGGCACGCCTCTCTATCTCGCACCAGAAACCCTTGACGGAGTCTGGTCTCCACAGGCTGACGTGTGGGCAGCTGGCGTCGTCTCATATGCAGCGCTCTGTGGCGTGCCGCCCTTTTGGGCAGAAACCAATGAGGGGATTTTCCGAGCCATTCGCTCCGAGCCTCTGCGCTTTGCCGCAGCAGCCTGGGTCGGCGTGTCCGAAGCTGCCAAGGACCTTGTTCAGGCAATGCTGGATAAGAACCCGCACCGGCGAATCACAGCACAGCAAGCTCTTGGTAAGGAAATCACAAAGAATGCTGTGTGTGAGATCATGAGGAATGTTAGTGTATTTCATTTTCCCTCACACATGTATTTCATGCTCCATTCCTTACCCCACCTTTGTGTTGGCTGCTGTTGCTGTGTCTAATCATCTGTTATTGCGTCTATTACAGGACATAGATGGTTTCAAGAGGTGTAGACTGCAGCATCTGTAGAAGTGATGCTAAAATTAGGTTAGTCCCTCATAATGTACTACTTACAGTATTACCTATTTAAAGCCCAAGACCTGAATTACAAAAAAAGGAAGGCAAACTGTGCACAGTTTGCCTTCCGAGCCCACAGTTGACTTCCCGAGCCTCTCTGGTTACCAAATGACGCCCCGCAAAACTGCAGAGAGTCGTAAGCCCAAAATTGGTTGGCGAGAGTCCCAACCGCTCCCTCCTGAAGGGAGTAGGGCAAGGCAAGCTGTGTACAGATTGGAAATTGTTGTAATTCAGGTCATGCTCGACCACATAGTAGTCACGTGAAACTCCTAGGTAGAGCAGAAAGCCAATAGAGCTGGAGCCCAATCCACCGGAAAAAAAAAAAAAAAAAAAACACCAAACAGATTCTATGCGATGGCGCCGCTTTTTACTCAGCGTCGTCGTCGAAACCCTGCGCGACCGCGCAAACGACAGTTTGCGGCGCATGCATCTCCTCTCCGAGCTCGATAATAGGTAATCAAACGGTCGATCACGGTCATTTCCCGCGCATTCGCGCTATGTTTGCCTCAGCTACATTCCCCTCCCGCGCTTCCTAGTCGACGTCACACCCTGCCACCCACGCTTCCCCTCGTCGCCGTCGCCGTCCCCCACGCTTCCCCCCACCGTCGCCCTCGCTTCCTCCCGCTGTCGCTCACACTTTACTCCGTCGTTGACCACGCTCCCCCTCCCGTCGCTTTCGCTTCCTCCCACCGTCGCCCTCGCTTCCTCCCACCGTCGCCCTTGCTTCCTCCCACCGTCGCCTTCGCTTCCTCCAACCGTCGCTTTCGCTTCCTCCCACCGTCGCCCTCGCTTCCTCCCACCGTCGCCCTCGCTTCCTCCCACCGTCGCCCTCGCTTCCTCCCACCGTCGCCCTCGCTTCCTCCCACCGTCGCCCTCGCTTCCTCCCACCGTCGCCCTCGCTTCCTCCCACCGTCGCCCTCGCTTCCTCCCACCGTCGCCCTCGCTTCCTCCCACCCTCCCCTACACTCCGCCGTCGTCATCACTTCCCTGCCTACCACGTTCACCCTCTTCGTCACACGTCGCCTCTCTCTCTCCCCCTATTCTACCTTCACCACTCCTACCGTCGTCCATGGTTACCACCCCACACTTGAACCCTTCTCATTCTCTCACATTCTCCCTTCTCCCTTGCTTCTCGCCCACACTAAACGCAGAGATGTATGGCGCCTGGGCGCTGGGTATGGGGTCGTGAATTGTTCGCTGTGGGGTGTGTGAGGGTGCGTGGTGCGAAGGCTAGGGGAGAATGAAAGCTGATGGGGTGCGAGTCGAGGAGCACGCACCCTGCCCCTCACGCTGTGTCACTCACAACCCAATGGCAGCACAGCAAGCTTAGCAACCTCCTCCTCACTCTCGCACCAACCCCGCACACAGCCGGGGAAGCTCGTGCAGGTGGGCAGTGAGGAGCGCTGTGCACAAGGGGGCGAGGGGGTGGGGCAAGGGAGCGGGGGAGGCGTGGCAGGGGAGTGAGGGAGGGGGGAGTGGGGGAGGCGGGGCAGGGGAGTTGGGGAGGGGGGCAGGGGAGTGGGGGAGGGGGGGCAGGAAGCCGTCCCGTCTTCCTCCTCTTCCTCTTATTTGCCTTCTCCTGTCCGTCCTTCCACTCTCCATGCCTCCCTCCTCTCTTTCTCTCTCTTTCCCTCCTTCACTTCTCCCGTCCGCCCGTGCTCCCAGCCTCCCTCCTCCGTACCACTCTCCCACCCACTCTTTCTTTCATCCTCCTGCCTCTCTTCCACCCTGCCACTCTTCTTTTCAGACTGCCACCTTCCGAGCTTCTTTTAGTCCACCTTTCCGTCTCACCCACTTGTCCTCTCCCAACTTGATCCTCACATCCTCCCATCCCCCCTTCTCCCCTTCCACCCTCCAACCCTTGCGCTCATCCTCCCTTCGTCTCACCCTCCTTTTTTCTCATCCTCCCATCCTCCCTCTCTTCCCTCCCCCCTCCCTTCCTCCTGTCCTCCCTTCCTCCCTTCCTTTCTTCCTCTCTTCCACCCTCTGCCCTACTCTCTGCTTCAGTGTCTTTCTCCCCTCTCTTTCCCCTTTCCTCCCTCCCTTCATCTCATCCTCTCTTCCGCCCTTCCTCCTTGTCTCCCTTGCTCATTTCTCCCTCCTCATATTCCCTGTTCCCTGCGTCCCTCGCTGCCATCCTCCCTTCCTCTCAGCCTCCTCACTTCCTCTCGTCAACCATTCCTCCGCACCCTTCTACCCTGCCACGCCTATACACTCCTACCTTGTTCTAGGGGCTTGTTTCTTGTTGCCTGCCTGCCCTTGCATTGTCATTGTTTTGTATCCTTCCCCACTGCTTCGACTCTTGGCACATTAGATTTTGTGGTTCGTGTTTGTGCAGGTCTGCCATGTATCTAGCTGTGATGCCTTCACTCTTTGATGATAGTGGTATGACAAATAGCCATGCCATGTATGTTGGATGCTTCTCATGATACAACACTTTGGGCCTCGGAGCAACCATGTACGTGAGCACGACAATGAAATGCAACAAAGCAAGAGATTTTCTTCCTTACAGTTGTCGCCAGTGGACTACAGGCACAATGCACAAATCTGGAAGGTGGTAACTTTCCATCCCACTCCTGTTGGGACCCATGGTGCTGAGCACCTGTACAAGCATGGTTCTGTGATAGAACGGGGAGGGAAGAGTGGGTATGGCGAATAAGCAAGGGCTGGAGGTTGGAGGTACAGAAGGGCATGTATAGCTGTGGAGCGAAAGGCAGTGCGGATGGTGGTGGTGCTGCTGCTGCTCGGGCTGTTGCTGTTGCTCTAGGAGTTACAACTGCTGCTACTTCTGCTGCGCCAGCTGCGCGCCTTTCTCCCTCCCCCTCCTCCTCCTCCTCCTGCTGCCGTGTCAAGAGCGGCTCCCTCAGCACGTCCCCAGCACCGCCAGCACTCGCAGATGCGGGCACATGGGGTCCCTTGCGCGCCGAGTCAGAGGAGGAACCTTGCGCAGAGGGGCGTCGCGAGGAGCAGCGCTGTGACGCTGGTGCCAGGGAGGCTGCCAGACCCACCGGGCTGCGCAGGGCGGACGCACCAGCAGCACCAGCAGCAGCACTGCCTCCGGCACCTGTGCCTGCAGCTGGAGAAACGGGAGCAGCGGCGGCAGCAGGAGCAGCAGGCGCAGCAGTGAGAGTGAGTGCAGGAGGCGGGGGCGAGGCGCCAATGGTGAAGGCAGGAGAGGGCGGGGAGAAGGTGGATTGAGAGAACACCAGCCTGGCCCTTGCAGGCGCCAGCGCGACCGCCGAGTCAGAGGAGGGGGGGATAGAGCCGGGCGGAGGGTTACCCTCCCGTGCTGCTGGAAATCCCCCCCTGCTGCTGACCGCCCATGGGGCTGCTGCTGCCCCCCATGCCTTGCACTGCAAGGAACGCACCCGACGACGCACCACCGGCGCCCATGCTGCTGCTCCCCTCCGTCGCCCAGTACGCTCCCGAGGCACCCTCCATCGCACCACCGCCACCCGTGCCCATGCCCACGAGCAAGGGCATGGCTAGCGCGCCTCCCACTCCCCCTCCCCCTCCCCCTCCGCCTCCTCCTCCGCCTCTCAGCGAGGGAGCTGACGCGGCTGATGTCTGACAGCAGAGAGTCGTAGCTCTCACTCCGCTCCAACACTCCCCGGCCCCCTCCCGCGTGCCCTCCCTCTCCCCCTCCCTCCCCCGCCTGTCCCCCCCCAGACGCGCCTCGTCCTCGGGGAAGCTGCCCAGCATCAAGGCCCGCTCCTCCCTCCCCAAGCTCCGTGCGGGGGAAGCGAAGGCTCCGCGCGGGGAAGCGAAGGCTCCGCGCGGGGGAAGCGAAGGCTCCGTGCGGGGGAAGCGAAGGCTCCGCGCAGGGGAAGCGAAGGCTCCGCGCGGGGAAGCGAAGGCTCCGCGCGGGGAAGCGAAGGCGACGCGCGGGGAAATCGAAGGCGACGGGGGGGAGAAGCGAAGGCGACGGGCGGGATAAGAGAAGGCAACGGTCATCCGAAAGCGAAGGCGGCGACGGGCGGGGGAAGCGAAGGCGACGGGATGGGGCCGCGAATGCGATGGGCTGCGGAAGCGAAGGTGACGACGCGGGCGATGGACAGAGGAAGCGTGGGACCCGGGTGAAGGAAAGCGAGGGCGAGGGATGGTTACGCTTGGCCGAACGTGAGGGTTATGCGAAACCTGCATTTTTACACCATATCTCATCGCACGCCGCTCAATATCCTTACGCTTCGAACTCACATTCCGCACCACACACCATCGCATCGCGCCTTGATCGCTCTAGAGTCAACGGCTACGCCCTGCCTACACGTATTCTATATTATGCCTAGTTTTAGTCTGCTGCTAGGATTGTCAAAAGTGTGCACAGTTTGGTAGGCACGCTCAACTCTGGTTGTGGGAAGCACGCCATTCATCACAGGTCTTCTTCCAAGCGACACAACTTTGTTGCAAACTGGTTTCGCGAGTGAAAGGGTTTCGCAACCAAACCGAACCTCTTCCGAACCTAGTTTTTTGGCGTTGACTTCCGTTGAGTAATTCAGGTCTTGGGCTTTAACATCACTGTGCTTCATGAGAAGAATTACTCAAACGGGTTTCTTCCTCAAACCTCAGTTCGCTCGCACTTCTTTTCGCCTTGCCTGTGACCCCCTCAGCCAATGCTCGTGCCATCCTCGCATGATGGTCCTTCTCTACCCCGAGCCGTAACCATGCTGGTTTTCACGACATGAAGCGATGTCATATCTGTGCCGCCAACGGCCCATGGTGAAATGCGAAGAATCGCTTGCGACACCCTGGTGGTTGAATAATCCGATTTCGCCAGCTGCCACCAGCTTTTCCGTCCCTAGGTTTTGTCGCGCGCTCCCTGCCCTGCTTGTGGGGCATGTCGTGGAGCTTGTCCGCGCCTCGCTACCTCTTGCCTCCGCTGGCAGCGTACCACATCATCCAGCACATGCCTTGGAACCCATTCAGCCGTTGATTCTCATCCAGCCATTCAATCCCATCCCGCCCAAACCTAGCGCTTCCCCAGTTCCTGCCTTAGCTAGCCCCGCCTGCAGGTCCGAGTGAGCCAAATTCGTCATTATAGCTCGTCATTCCCATGGCCAGCCTGAATTTCTGATCTCATCGTCACCATCTTGCAGTCAGGTACGTGTACTTGACCCTTCAGGGAGGTCATATTAGCAGCTAGCAGCTCATTTCAAACCCATGGCCCTGCTTGTCATTGAAGGGTGAAGCCATGATGTACACACCATGGAACATTTGTGTATTGGCTTGTCTAAGCGTCTCTATTCTTACGTCGCGAAGCGTTATTGGAGATTCATTCATCCATAGGTGACGAACGATTTTGCAATTTGTGCTTGTAGTGCTGATTGTCAGTGTCAATAAACGCCAGATCACGTGCGAATGGCTACCGTTGCCTCGGAAAAATCCTTGCTCAACTGCGCAAGCAGCTCATGGAACTTGCCAATCCGCGCCGAATGCGAATCCATGGAGCATTCTCGAAACCGCCGCGACGACGAGCTGGCTCAGCACGGCGCGCACCGTAGATCACGCAGTAGAGGTTCCATCCAAGACAATCCCGCTTCGCATTCGACTTCCCATTCGAGTCACGCGGCGCACCGGAGGCCGCCGGCGTCCATAATCTCGCCGCGTCGCATTCACCAGCCGCACCCCTCCGGAGCGACCCAGGCGGGGGTTCTCCGCTGGCTCGACGACGCGGCGAATGCATCGAGGCGCTCCATCATGGCGGGGGAGGCGGAAGCGGATGCAGCGCGTATCCATGATTTGACCGGTAGCTCGCAACGTTTGGACGGGCATCATCCTGCGCTCCGAAGCAACGTCAAGGTGACGAGGTCGCGACCGGCTACGGCTCCTCAAGCAGACATGATGCCGTTCTCTCGCGACCATTATGGTGGTTCGGGCTCAAGCGCTAACTCGGTCATTCGCCTTGATTGTGGAAAGGCAGACGCTGGGAGACGAAGGCAGGCTGCAGGAGGCAACACTACGATGCATGCATCGGGGATATCTCCTGAGTCTGCCTCCGTAGGACAGGCGTCTTCCAGACGAAGTTCCAGAAAGGCCGTTCCATCGGGCGACGCCGCGACTCGGCGATGCGATTCGCGACAGACTATATGGGAGGGGTCTCCATCCCCGCCCGGCGGGCCGCGATCCGCGACGGACGATCAGAGCAGCCCGTGCTCCTCCGCGTTCCCGTTCTCCAGCTCCGACGGCTCACAGTCACACCGCTCACTGTCACACCCGATACAGTCCTGCATGCCGCGGTCGCAGACGCATGCGGATGAAAGGGTTCTCCTGTGCAGTCAAGCGGCGATGTTTCCCCACTCCCAGTCTGAACCTTGTGCCAAAGGCAGGCATCAAAGCCAGTCAGTGGGTCGGAACCACAGGGATGCTCGCTCTCCCCCAATGGCACAGCAATACCACCCTGTTCTTGCGAGCCTCGGCGAGGTTATACCCCAAATAAGCACGTCCTTTACCACCAGCAACACCGAGGGTGGGCCCAGTGTCAAGCCCAGCCGATCTCGCACAGACGGTGTTAGCAGGCGCCCTCCCAGCAGGAGCTCAGAGAAGCGATCTCAGCCGTCGGCTCTTCCACAGCCACAATCTGCACCAGATGTGCTTGTTTTGGACAGTCCAGAGAGTTTGTCAGATGCTGCTACGAGTCAGCACGCGAGTCCGGCCGAGGAGGTGCAACGCTCTGCTACACCGCCTGTACCTGAAACGGATGTGACTGCATCGAGGCTGAGATATGCAGATGACGAGTGCACGGAGGGTTGCTGGAGTGATTATAACGAGATGATGGTTGTTGTGCGAGAGGGAAGTAGGAATCACTCTGTGCGGCCAAATACGGCTCCTGCACCAGATGAAAGGCGAGGCAGGCAAGGAGGGCTCGGCAGACCTAGTAGCTGCGGGGATGGTTTGGATGTTACCAGTGGCGAAGTGGCGGATTCTGATTGGATGGCGGAGTGCAATGGAGGGAGTGAGAAAATGGCGGTTTTCAAGCAGAGGTTGAAGGTTTTGAAGGTGCGGAGGCACTCGGATGAGGGGGTGCTTGGAAACAAAATGTCCCTCTTTCGCCTCAGGCTCAAGGCGCTGAGGATGGGAAATGAGGCGAGCAATAAAGAGGATGTAAAGGCGGAGCGGAGAAAGATGGATGAGTTTAAACGGCGGATAGGGGAGGTGATGGTGAAAGGGCTGGAGAGAGAGGAGGAGAGGAGGCGGAAGGAGAAGGAGAGGAGGAGAAGTATCAGGGAGGAAGGGAAAGGTGGAGAGCGAAGGGGAGAGAGAGGGGGAGATGGAGAGAAGAGGCGGAGAGATGGGGAGAAGAGGCGGAGCAGGAGCAAGAGCTACGACCAGTCAGCATATGCAAGTATGGTGGGCGATATGAGCGAGGAGGCGGTTCACATTAGAATTGATGGCGAGAGCATGGTGAGGATACAGTTGCAGGAGAACAGCAGGGACAGGCAACCAGAGGGCAGGGCTGACGTGGAAAGCAGGGAGGAGCGAGAGCATGGTGGCGAGCACGGGAAGAAGGCCGCAGGGAGGAGAGTGTCAGAGCAGTTTAGTGTGATGGTGCAGCAGGCACGGTCATCAGGAAATGAGGGCCAGATGGGGGAGAAACAGAATCGGCACAGTCGGTCTAAGAGCATGGGGGGCAGCAGGGGAGGCACATCACACAGGCGAGGCGTGAGTTTGGACGCATCCATGCATGGCGCTCATGCACGCCCGGCAACTGCTGCTGCTCCGGCGAATGCCGATGCTGCTGTGGCTGCTAGTGCTTCAGCAGCTGCATTGCTCCCCAGCAGCAGGGATCCCAAGGGGAGACTCACCCAATCGGCCAGCTTCGGCGGCCGTGCTGCAGGCTCCATCGCACCATCCGCCGCTTCTTCTCTCACCCACACACGCACCTTTCATGGCACTTCTGCTGCCACCCAAGCTGCGGCACCTGCAGCTGTCAGCACCGCTGCTGCTGCTGCGGCCGCCACTCCTGCTGCTGCTGCTGGCGCTGGCGCTGGTGCAAGCAGGGCCAAGGCTCTCCCACCCGGCCTTCCTGCATCTGCTTCCCGCACCTGTAAACCCAGCGGTTCGCACAGGCGCAGTGCTTCCTTCGGCGGACAAGTACTGCAGGACAGGAGCGGGTGCATTATGGGCCAAAGGGTTGTGGATGTCAAGGCAGGGAAGGAGAGTGGGAGAGAGTTAGGAGCGTGTGGGCAAGGGCAAGGAGGAGCAGGGGTGAGTCAAGGGCAGGCAAGCGGATCCAAAGGAATAAGGAACTCTAGAACGAGTTTGCGAAAGGACAAGGAGGGAGCAGTAGCAGCGGGAAGCGGACAGAAGTTATCGAATAAAGCCAAGGCAGCAGCAGCAGCAGCAGGAGGAGGTGCAGGGGGGGGCGGTGGAGAGGGAGGTGCTGTAGTGGTGAGCAGGCGGAGGCGCTTGAGACAGGTGTTCTGTATGGATGCCCCTTCTGTCGCCCACGGCTGGTGCAGTGATGGTGAGGACGTGGGAGCAGAGTCAGACGGTGGGCTGTCTGCGGGAGACGAGGATGGGGAGGGCGGAGATGATGGTGCTGCTGCTTCTCGTCTGGGATTCACCCAGCATAACCATCGTCCCAATCAGCAGCAGCAGCAGCAGCAGCAGCAAAGGGACATAGGTGCGGTAACCGTAACTCGTACGACAGGTGGGGCAGAGAGCAGGAGGCGTCCATCCACCGCCCCCCACGTGGAGCACCAGTTGCGCCGTGTATACTCCCAACACACCCCAGACTCCTCTTCTGCTGCTCACTCTGCTGCGCAATCTGCTGCACCATCCACCTCCTCGTCTCCTATTAAAGGCTCTACGGCCGCCAAGGCAAGGCGTGTCCCGTGTCAAGAAGCAGATTCGGTTGCTCCTGAGCGAGAGAAGCTCCGGAGGGTCAAGTCCCAGCAGCATGGGGGGGAGGCGATCGAAGTGGTTCGTCGGAACTCCACGGGCCTCGGCGCTCCAGCCTCTGCTGTCCGCCTGCCCCGCTCGCTGACAGCCCACCAGCCCCCGAGCCGGTTTGACGAACCTCAGTGCATGGGACAGAAGGCGGGTGGGGTGTCGACCTGGTTACCGCGTTCGCTCACTCAGCAGCCGTCGCAACCTCAATCCGACGGCTCACACGCAGTCCCTGTAGGTGCTGTCTTGTCGAGATCGTTTAAGTCCTCCCGTTCTGCAGATGGCTCTGCCAAGCTCCGGCGTGCCAAGTCCCAGCAGTCCAACCCTGAGGTGGTGGCACAGCGGCAGCAGCAGGAGGAGGAGGAAAAGGAAGAAGAGGTAGGGGTTGCGACGGGAGTGGGTGGGAAAGCATCTGGCGAACTGTTTCGAATGCTGGATGCATTGGCCAAAGAGAGGCCCGAGGACCTGGCTAAGCTGCAGCGTGTGGTGGCGCTTCATCAGCAGCAGCTAGCAGGGCGAACGGGGAGAGCAGGAGAGGGAGAGGGGAGCGAGGAAGAGGAGGAAGCGGATGGATGGGAGGGGAGGAGGGATGGGAGTTCTATAAGGCGAAGGAGGAAAGGGGGTGATGGAGGCCGGGCTGTTACCCATGCTGCCGCTCGTGGTGATGCTGGTGTAGATCTCGGGTCTGGCAGTGACGTTGATGCTGATTGCAATGCTCATGCTGATGTCTGGGTGAGGGCGCATGACGAGGAGGAAGCAGCAGCAGCTGGGCCTGACTCCCACCCAAGGGACCATGTGCTAGGCAGGGATTACTCCGATATAGCAGCCTCGTTTATGATTATAAAGAAGGAGGTGCTGGGGCAGGGCGAGCTGGGCGTGGTGAGGAGATGTGTGGAGGTAGCATCTGGCGAGGTGTACGCATGCAAGACAGTGGAGAAGAAGGGGATTCGCACCAGGGAGGATGCGGACGATGTGAGGCGCATGCTGGCATGCCTGCAGGCAGTTAGGGGCCATGGGAACGTGCTGACGCTCAAGGCTGTGTTTGAAGATGCCGAGGTGAGCCATGCACGGAACTGAACGGGTTCAGCTTGTCTGAGAATGCTGTTAATGCCGAGGAGACATACGCTGTTGTGCATAAGATGGGGAACCTGTGCAGAACTTTCTTGGTTGTTCGACCCAGGGGTCTCGGTTTCAGGTCTTGGTGTAATTTTTTGTCTCTTTGCTTCCGTCACAGAACATCCACGTCGTCACAGATCTCTGTGCGGGCGGCGAGCTCTTCGACTTGATTCGGCGGAATGGGTGGCAGAGCGAGGGCGTGTGTGCGTGGGTGTGCAAGGGAGTGGCTGCAGCACTGCAACACTGCCACGGGCAGGGCATCATTCACCGCGGCGTCAAGCCCGAGAACATCCTCCTGCTGCACACACGCCCCAACCCCCCCGTCAAGCTTGCCGACTTTGGGGTGGCTGCTGCGTTCAAGCAAGGTATGGTCCTTGTGTGGTGTGGTGCGTGTCAAGAGCTTGCCCTACACTGTGTGCCCCTTTGGCATTCTCTTATCCATGACGTTTTGGGCCCCAGGCTAACAACTGAAGTGCAGGATTCAGGGTCTATATCATGTGCTCTTTCTTTTTCCCTGTTCCCCTCCCATTCCTCCTCTTGCTCTCTCCTTCCCCCGCCATCACCACCAGCTGCGCCCCTGAGTGAGATGATGGGTAGGTGAAAGGTACATGGCACCAGAAGTCATCAGCGGCTGCTACGGTCTTGAAGCTGACATCTGAAGCGCCAGAGCCGTGCTCTACATCATGGTGTGGTCTGCCTTAGCCCATCCTCGTTTTCTTCCTTCTCTTTGTTATTTCTTCCCTCTGCATCAACACCAGGTGTGCCCCTGAGTGACATCGTGGGCACACGAGAGTACATGGCACCAGAAGTCATCAGTGGCTGCTACGGCCCCGAAGCCGACATCTGGAGCGCCGGAGTCGTGCTCTACATCATGCTCTGCGGTGCGCCGCCCTTCCGGCCCTCGGCCAATCACCGTGTGACAGATGTGATCCTCAAGAAGCCCGTGTCGCTGGGTTCGGCGCGGTGGAAGGGGGTATCGGAGGAGGCAAAGGACCTCGTGCTGCGCATGCTGGAGAGATCCCCTGCCAGGCGACTCACGGCCAGCCAAGTGCTAGGTACGCCTTGGTGGGGAGTGGTGCTGGGGAGTTATGGTTGGGGCACGGGTCTTGAAACGAGCTAATGCAGTAGCGGATTACAAGATGCTTCACGCAGAATGTGTGTTGGGTCACAGTAGTCTGGTGAGGTGATATGGCTGACATTGCTCATGGGTGATCGTAGCCTGCTTCTGGTGTCCTTCGTCCCAATCTCCTTTCTGTGTTCTTGTTGCTCCTTTCCATCGTCTCTGCAGAGCATCCGTGGATCCGAAAGTGGACGTGAAGAGGCATGGAGATGCAACAGGATTGAGGGAAAGGCTAGGGTTGGAGGAGGACATGGCTGGCATTGGAGACATGACGTCATGGGATTGAGGGGAACGGAGAAAGGAGTATGTTGTCACGAAAAACAGAACTGGAACGGAGTGCATTCGTTTACGACGTGCTGGCCGCATGCACAGACAACAGGGTAAAGGAATAAACAATGCTTTTGTTGCGAGGCCCGACCATGCAAAAATGTGAATAATTTGCATGGCTGGGTCTGAGTATGTTGTTATGTTGTTCGTTCCATATGGCTCTTAGGATGCAAACGTAATTTGCATGTACCGTAACAGGCCACTTTTTGCGGTAAAACATTCAAACTGCAGTCATTTGCCTCCCATAGCATGTTGGCCAAAACTAATGGTACTTTTTTTTTTTTTTTTTTTTCTATATACCCATTGCTCATCACAGTTGTCCAAAAGCGGTATAGATTGTACGTTCTTTAATACACTTGAAGAATCAGGAAGTTGCTGTAATGAGTACAGTACTCGCACTTTTCAAACATCTTGCCTGCTTCTCGAGGTTGTTTGTGGTGGGTCAGCGAATTCTGCCTTGCCTGTCTCTTGTGTTCCTGAATCTCCGTGACTTGCTTGTCACTTCGATTAGATTCTCGTTGTTTTTATTACTCTAATACTTTGTCAAGCAATGGCTGACTCGGCTCAACCCCCGTCGGATTCCGGTATGACGAGTATTGAAGCTCCGCAGGCAGAGGATCGGCAGAAAGGGGCGACGGTCCATGTCCCGGAAGTGGAGGATGGAAGCGTTCGTGTCGACGATCAAAGCGTTGACAAGAAAGAGGGTCTTACAGAACAGGGAATCGTTGCTGAGAGCACAGCTGAAACTGAACTAGAAAGAAAGCCGGCGAGTACGTCCGCATCCTCGTCTAAGTCAACTTCAGCCGAAGGGAAGACCAAATCTCAGGGTAATAGTTCTTTGAAGAGTAGACTCTCCTGTTCATTCACCAAGGCTAAGCTAAACCTTGTTAACTCGAGGCTGAAACGTCATCCCGCTTATGCAGGAAAGGGAGGGAAGCTGCCTTTGGAACAAATACGGCGTGTCGTTGATGACCCTGAAGTATCAGCGGATGAGAAGATTAAGATACTGCATTCTAAGATTATGGCGCAGGTAAGCCGAGCATGACTGGTTTCAAATGTTTTCGCTTGCTCTCATTGTCTGACGTTTCCCATTGCAGGCACGGGAAGCTAAGGCTGGCGATAAGGAGAGCGCAGCTTTGCTGAAGAAGATTGATCAACTAACAAGGGAACGCGACTCTGGTGCGACAACTACTTCCTCTTGTCTGATGCCGTTCATTCAAAATATTCCATGCTTGAAGCGCTTACCTGCTTCATACTTAACTGTTTCAGTGATGGCCGAAATGAGGAAGTCTGCCACGCTTCGTGGCAAATTGGAGACCTTGTGCCGTGAACTCCAGAAGCAAAACAAGACCATATTGGTACGTTCCAGCAAGCTTCCATTATCCGTTTTAGCTCTTCTGGATCATTTTCTCATGCTGTTTCTCTCCGCTCAATGCCGTTGGTGGCACAGGAAGAAAGCAAGAAGGCTGCAAACGAGCAGCAGCAGAAACGAGAGGAGTTATCATCTAAATTCCTCGACTCTATCAAGGTATTCCAGGACCTAAGCTGCCGCTCTTCCTCACTGTCGTTGATGGTTTTCAAGCACATGATTTCCTTTGGCTGTTCGCAGGACATCGAACTCAGATTGGAAGAGCAGGGAGCTGAAAGATCAAGCCACCTTAAGGAAAATCACATGTAAGATTGCAATGGCTTAATTTGCTTGTGCAAGTTCCCTCCGAGCTCATATGGCATGTGAAGCGGGGTTGTTATTCCGTTAGTCAACCCTTCATCCAATGATGTGTGCAGTCTTGCTGAGCAACTCAAGAAAATCCAAGAGCATGCAGACGTCAAGGAAAAGTACTGGGCGCACCTTGTAAGTGATTTCACTTTGTAAGAAGCTTTTCCTGGTGTTTTTTTATTCTTGTTCTTTTGGTATTTCCGAAATTTGATATGATCTTGCCCTTTCCATTTTGCCCCAGATCAAGACGAAAGACCTTGAGTATCAGCTGTTGGATGCAAAGCATAAGCAGCAAGAGAAGTTAATGATCGAAGAACGGGCTCTGGTAAGCTGACAGAAAAGTAAATATGTTTGTTTCAAGATGGGTTGTCATGAATAACGCTGTCAGCATGATTAGTTTCCCATTCTTCTGTGTTCCATAAAACTTCCCCACTCTCTAACAGAGCAAGGCAAGAGGCGAACAGGTCATTGATCTTCTCAAGTCAGAAAAAGAGCTGAGGGGCCAGCTGGCGTTATACATTGATAAGTTTGATCAATTCCAGGTAACAAGTCATTTTTGCCCAAAGTTGTGTGATCGACTGCATAATTCTGGATGGTGTGGGTTCTTAACATTAGGTTTCTTGATGCAGGGTACTTTGTCCAAGAGCAACGAAGTCCTTGGCACAATGAAGAAGGAAATGGACAAGGCAAGTCCAAATTTCACCTGTGAACTTTACTGGATAGAGCATTTTTTGTCTGACGGGCTTATTGATGTAACTCCATCCAATGGCAGATGACGAAGCACATCAAGAAGCTGGAGAAGGACAATTCTGAACTTCGAGCCAAGTCTGAAAAGTCAGATGTTTCTCTGATTGAGCTTCTTGATGAGGTAATTGCCATCGGCCGTTCGCCAAAGAAAGATGGAGGGTTCTGCTCTTACAAAGATGTTTCTTCCTCTCCATTGACGGTGTCTCTGTGTTTTGCTGTGGCAGCGAGCGGCACAGCGCAAGCAGCTTGAGACGCTGCAGGCTCAGAAGCAGAAGCTGGAGGGCTTGTGCCGGTTATTGCAGGCAGAAAGGAAGAAGTGGCATGAACAGGCCCAGGAACAGCAGCGGCATGAGCAAGAGAGTGTGAGCGTGGAGGAACCTACCACCGCTGATGCAGTTGATTCCACAGACAAGTCCGCAGATGCAGTTACAGCAGGAGCAACAAGTGAAAGTGGCGAGAGTAATGGCTCTGACACACAGCAGGCATCAACGGACGTGCAGCCTTCAGCTGTTGCCGACGGTGGTGCAGCCATACCAGCTTGAATATCTCATCCAAGTCACAGTTGGTTGGTCCCAGCCACTGTTCTCTTGGCGTGTTGATGTCTTAAGTACGGTACAACAATTAATGTGTTCTGATTTGTGTACCTCGGGTCAACCTTCATTGGAATTCATTTATATTGCAGAACATCACATTTACATGACACTAGCACTCAAAGGTTCATTGTAGCACGTAGCTTGCACACATGCTACGGCGTGTGTAAGAGATAACCAGGGTTTCAGTAATTAAGGAGCGGGCACGCCCTTTCGTTATTGCAACAGCACGAGTTATGCAATCAATCAATTTGACATCACACCGTGGGTGCTACACTAATTTGGTCAGAAGGGAGCCTCAAGGGACTCATCCCAAACCTCTGCACTGCCATTGGAAGCATCATCACCCTCATCCTCCATAGACAGCCGAATGTATTCCGCTCGAGCAAAGCGGTCCCACTCTGTTAACGTGGGGTCTTCTCTCTCCTGTAGCCAAGGGGAAATGCATGTTAGATTACAACAGAATGCACATGAGGCCATGACACGCCCATAGGAAGAGACCGGCAGAGATAAATCTGTTAAGCGATTCTGTTTGTTGAACAGCGAAAGACTGACCTGTCGAATGAGGAAAGGATCGCGCGTTTCGAACGCCACAAATTTGTTAAGGTTGAACAGTATGTTAAAGAAGTTGCCCGACAACCGACATCCCTTCAAGTCGCGCAGTGTCATCACTCCATCCTTCTGCTCATGGCAACAGCGGAGGTCTCAGGGAAGCAAAATACATACATGAGAGACAATGACATGGTACATGAATCCTGGAACTGGTCTTCAGCTCCATCACCCATCCGTGCACTCTCGCCGAGAGCTACCCCTCTGTGCCTATCGTCACCCCGTGCTCACCGCGGGTTCAATCATGTGAGCTATTTGGCACACGACCACCCATCAGTCCAAGCAGTCCAAGCTAGGCACATCCATGCCTGCCTGCACCAGCATCTCAACTTCCCCCCCGTGCTCACCGCGGGTTTGATCATGTCGGCCATTTGGCACACAACGTCTTCAAAGAGCACGGGCTCCTGAGCCATGCACTCCATGCGGTGCAGCTGCTCCTCGTAGAAATACTGCATCTCCGGGGCTGTGATGCGCTCATCCCCATCCAAATCCACACACCGGAACCTGGCGTGTGCATGCCAAGGGGGTGTTGCGGGGAGGAAGTTAGAGGGTTTTGAGGGATGGGGCGAGCGAAAAGATGAGAAGTGGAACCTGGGTGGGCGGTTGTGGTGCATGGATGTGCATGTACACATATGCAATTGCATGACCCTACCCAACCAACCCCCTTTCATACAACAGCAGTAAAGCGACTCACCAGTATTCGAGGCTGGGTTCAGACGACTTGTCCTCTTCTGAGAGGATGAACCACACAAAGTCCTCGTACCCCATCTTGCCCTCCACTCCACTCGTGAATGGCCGGGGAACCTGCAGCGATAGAAGCAGGGAAGAGGAGGAATTATTATAGTGAGTGAGTCGCACCTTCGCAACTTGCAATGTGAGAAGATGAAGGGGGAATGGAAACGCCTGACTAGTTGCACGAAGCTGTTTGAGAGAGAAAAACAGCACACGATTGCAGCTGTACCGCTGTCACGATGACCGGGACAGAATGGACAATTCAGCCGATGAGAGCAGAGACAAAGAAAAAGATGCACCGATCATCCCCTCAACCCCCACCTGGGCGAAGATGCGTTCGACGATGCGGTAGGTGAGGGCGTGGTTGCCGTAGCGCAGCAGGTCGTCCTTGTCTATGAGGAAGTCGTGATCCGAATCCAGCTCCCAGAACTTGCAGTACACCACGTAGAAATGCTCGTACGAGAAATATCTGCAGGGGGAGGGAGAGCAAGGGGAGCGGGGTGGGTGGGTGAGAAGTACAGTACTTGATGCACGGGTCTCGCAGTGTATGTACTTGCAGTACACCACGTAGAAATGCTCGTACGAGAAGTACCTCCAGGGGGAGGGGCAGGAACAGGAGAATGACAAATGCACTCTTTTTCCTCACAGAGGGACCTATTGAACAACCACTACGAGATCCCCAGCTCACATAGACGAGTCATTGCTGCTGACTGCCTCCCATCCCACTCACTCATCACCGTCTGTAAAAACACCGTTGGGTCAAGACCTTGCCATGGCCCTTCCGCAAAGTGATCTATCCATTCTCTGAATCTGGTGACTCGCTTGAGCAATTTACATATTCGTGTCCTCTTCTTCACGTGCTGCGGCACGTTTAAAACACCATGTCTACAGACAGACTCACTTGAGCACTTTATTGATGTCCTCTTCTTCCTCCACCTGCTGCAGTGCCTGCATGAGGTTGCTCTTCTTTAGCTCTCTCAACGATATGCGCCCGTTGCCCGACCGGCTGATGTGGTAGAATATGCGGTAGATTACTGTCTCAGCTGCACCAGGTGGGAAGAGGAGGGAACGGAAGGGGGGTGCGGGATGGAAGAGGGCAATGCAAGGGTGTGTGACCGGCTGATGTGGTAGAATATGTGGTAGATCACCGTCTCCACTGTGGAGAAGGGGGGGAGAGGAGGGGAGCGCGGAAGCGGGGGATGAGGGGGGAAGAGGCGGGGATGAGGGGGAGAGGCGGGAATGAAGGGGGAGAGGAGAAGATGAGGGGGTATGTTTGTTGCCTGGCTGGAAGTGGAAGCATATGCAGTAGATGACCGTCCCGGTGCACCATGAGGAGGATGGAAAGGATTAGCAAGGGAAAGATACGGATATTAATGGGATGTGGAGGGATGGAAAAGGATAGAATAGGAATGGATGGAAAATCAGGGATTGGAAAACGCTAGTAGGCTGCTTGGTTCTACTCACCGCAGTCCAGCACCCTACACCGCCCATTGGCTTCATCAAACGTACCGTATCGTTCTTGGAACTCGGGTGTATCATGCAGGAACTCGAGACCTGGGTGGCGGTTCAGCAACTCGCGCATTATGGGCTTGAAGTCGTCCTGTGGGGCGCGCACAAGGGGAAGGAGGAAGGGGGGGCAATGGGGGAGAGGCGGAGGCGGGGGGGTTGGTGAAGGGACGGTGGCGGGGGGGAGAAACGAGTGAGGGCGGGGGTTTCGGCAGTGGGGGAGAGGGTTAGAGGATGGAAGGAGCACTAGCAGGAAGAGATTGATGTGGTGACGGGGAGGGGTTGGTGTGAAGGAGAGTGAGAATGTAGGACAGAGCGAGTGACATAGTGAGAGAGGGGCAGGGTTGGGGGGAAGAGAGAGGAGACACAGAGAGGAGAGGGAGGGAAAGAAAGGAGGCAATGACAAGCGGATAAATGCGACACTCGGCACCACATAACACCTGGGAGAGGGTCCAGCCAGCCTCAGATAGTACCTGCACCACTGCTGCATATAGTACCTGCACCACTGCTTCAGATAGTACCTGCACCATTGCTGCACATAGTACCTGCACGAGGTAGTTCTGGTGGTCCTGTTTGAGCACGTGGAAGATCTGCGTCGCCATATCTGCTGCCAGCAGCCGCCGGTCCACCCAGAACCGCATGAACGCGTCCCTGCGGACCATGCGGGAAGGGGGAGGGGGAGGGGGGAGGAGGGGGTGAATGGGGAAGGGAGGGAGGGAGAGGGAGGGTGGGGTTGAGGCGCCTCGGAAAAAGCAGCTGCAGGTCCACCCAGAACCGCATGAACGCGTCCCTGCGGGTGATGCAGGGGGCGGAGGGGGGAAGGGGGCGGTTAAGGCGCCTTGGAAAAGCAGTAGCCGATCCATCCAGAACCGCATGAACGCGTCTCTGCGGACCAAGCAGGAAGGGGGAGGGCGAGGAGGTGGGGAGCGGAGGAGGAAGGGAAGGAGAGTGAGGGGTGTGTTTGAAAAAGCAGCCTCTGGCCGACCAGAATCGCATCTAGGCGTCTGGTGGGAGCAAGAAAGGGGAGGGTGAATGATGAGAGAGGGGGGCGAAGAGGTGATGGACGAGGTTGGGAGAAGCGGAAGGGGAGAGGATGGCCAGCTTGGCTCTCCCGTTATCACTTTTTTGACGAGGCGAGCAGGCGAGCACTCACTTGGTGATGAGGCCAGTGGATTCGGAGTCGATGCGTTGGAAGATGACCGAGTTGAAGTAGGATGGCAGGTTGCACACCTCCTGTGTTACCGCCATGAACGCTGCGCGGCGGGGTGGGGGGGGAAGGGCGAGGGGGAGAGGGGCGAGGGGGAGAGTGGGGAGAGACAGGGATAGATTGGGGGTGTTCGTGGAAGAACTGGTGGACCTTCACCATACACTGTTTCGCCACGCTCCGACTCTCCAGGTTGAACGTTCCACCCTTCCCCCACCTTCCAACGTATTCCTCCCCACACCCTTCCGTGCACCCTCCCAGGCACCCTCTCCCACAGCCTCCCGCGTACCCACCTTCCACGTTGAGCCCCTCGGGGTGTTCGTGGAAGAACTGGTGGACCTTCAACATGCACTGCTTCGCCACGTCCTCCCTCTCTCAAGGGTAAACCTTCCACCCTCCGCCCACCCTCCCGCGCGCCCACCCGCACACCCTCCCGCGTACGCACCTTCGGCGTTGAGCCCCTCGGGGTGTTCGTGGAAGAATTGATGAATCTTCACCATGCACTGCTTCGCCACGTCCTCCGTCGCCGGCGGGCCGTTCGGGAAGTAGAACTGCGGAATCGCCTCGAAGCTTCGGTTCGCGTGCGGCTTCACGGGCGACCCAGCGTGGCTCAGCCCCGACGCCTGGCGACGCAGCGGCGACTTGGGCGACATCGGCTTGTCGCTCCGCGGGGAGAGCGGGGGGGTTGCGCCGAAGAGCGACGACGCGCTTGTGGGGGAGAGCGGGGAGAGGCTTCCGCTTGCGCTGTGGGAGTTGGGGCCTCCGGGGGCTATTAGCGGGCGGCCTGCTTTGGCGTCTTCCAATAACGACATCACCTGGATCATGACACGTGGCAGATGAGACGGCCGGGTATGGGAGGGAGGCAGTAAGCATTGACTTTCGAACGTCTCCAGCGAAAACGAGTCATCAATCAGAAACAGGCGAACCACGACGATGAACAGCGAGCGGTAGGGACGAATTTAGAAATGCACGAACGGGAACGGAGGTCCATTGGTACTTCATCCATTTTTTTTTTCCTCAGTCACACTGGTGGAAATATCTTCAGCCACGAATGCGTGTGTCGGATACTCACATCTCCCTTCCCATTCTAACAGACCGTCGTCGCCATGGCATGGGTCACTCCTTCCAGCAATTTCCGAACAAGCACTCGCCTTGCATGCGCAAGCAAACCCTAACCGTGCAACAGAGGCAGCTTGCGGTCATTCCGACACTGCTAACCCTAGCCATAGAGAACCCCCGCGAGCCCAACCTTTTGCGAAGCTAACCCTAGCGGAATCAACTTTAGCGGAACCAACTCTTGAGAGGCCACCCCTTGCAAAAGCCAACCCTAACGGAGCCAACTTTCGCGAGGCGAACCCACCAGCTTCTGTGATTCGGGCAGAGAGAGCCATTGAATGAAGAGCTCGTCGACCTTCATCTTGGACGACGGGAAGCGCTGCTGCACCAGCGACGACTCGCCCGACGGCGACCCGCCGGAGAATCTCGCCTTGGGCTGCGCCGTTCCCTCCGCATGCTCGTCGCCTTCGTCCCTTGATACGTCCACACGCAGACCACCCCCCGCCATTGCCGCGAGGAGTTAAGTGTCCGTAACTACTACGGTATTCTGGTTATAGCTACTAGTAGTAGCAGTTATTTGTATTCGACAAGTCCTGTGTGGCTCGACGGTGGCTCGACGGTGGCTCTGCCTTGACAATGGTTGACAGGAAAAGGCACGAAACCACTACAATCGTTGCTAGAGCAGAGACCCGAAATTGACAGACAACGTAAATTTCTCAGATACGTTGGCACAATGCGGTGCTAAAGGCAGAGCTAAGGTCAACGCAATGCCGTGAATTAACTTGTCACAGAAATGAACGGCAGCAATGGCCACTGGGATTATCCGGGAGATTAGTTCTGAGGTAACTCTAGCTGGACAAAGCCAGGAAGGGGAAAGCGCGTGAAGGGGAGTGGAGGGTGTTTCGCCTGCTAAAAAAACAGGGAGGTGGGAGAAAGTAGAGTAAGTTGTAGTGGAGTTGGGTGAGGTGAAAATGGTAAGGAGGAAGGGGAGGATAATTGGTAGGCGGAGTGTTGGCGCCCGCCCAGGTCCTGCGCTACAATGGCGAGGGGCGGAGCGGAGGGACGTTCCGCGTGTGAACAAGATGAGTAAAAGTTGGTGGGGCTGGGGGACTGTTCGCAGAGGCGAGAATGCTTGGCCGCAAGATTGGGGGACAGAACCGCTGAGATAGTTGACGACTGGCTGCGAATTTCTTGGCCGTTGGATTCACGATCGGGCAAGGAGTCGGACAGGTCTCATTTGTTGACCAGCTCAACAAATTTGCACAGCGGCAACCAATCAAGTTACAATGAGACCCAAAAGCAACTCGCTGGGGTTTACAACACTACGGTACGTCATAAAAAGGCAACTCACTGTGGCAACCCATACAACAAAATTCTACACCCTAAGCAGATGCAGGTTCCTTTTTCTCATGGGATTTAGCATCACTAATATCATTGTGGCTTGCGAAGGACATGTAGACGGTCCAGACTAGGCCCACTAGATTCACAGCACCAACCTGCTCAACAAGAAAAGAATAGTCACATGCGGTAAGATGAAGAACCACAAAGAGTGAAAACAAGAAGCCCTGGATCTAGTCTAGTGCATACCTGTAATTGTGGAGGCACAAGGGCAAAGTTAAACAGCTGGAACGGCACCCAGAGCTTCCACATGTTGATGCACGTTGGCACAAAATCCTGCATAGGAGCAAGCGCCAGGTGAGATCATACAACCACAAATCCATGCTCATCCTCCCTAGAACACTCATAGTAAAACTCAATCATAGCAAAGGGCATCAGCACACATCATTGCAGCAAGTATGCCTCCACAACCGTCCCCTGTGAGCTTCTCACCTTCTCCAGCTTAGGAACAATGCGCTCTGGCTTGCCCTCCAGCAGCATCACCAGCCCCACAAATGTGGCAATCGAAAGAGGGGAGAATATCACCTGTTGTGCACAAAGATAGAAGACGGCATTGAGCACTTGATGAAAAAAAAGAACCACCAAATATATGCTTTGCAAAGGAGAATGTAGCCTAACCAGCACCATAACCATGTCCAATCCGTCCAAATGGCAAGTATAAAGGAACAAAGAGCCTTACCTGGTCAATGAGCAATCGAGCAAGAACTCCTTTGAAACCCTCAATTTGAATAAACTTTCCAAGCAGGCCATACCTGTAACCACACACAGAACACATTGTAAATCATAACTTGTTTTCCTGTAGACAAATAAGTGGAAGCCTGCAATCCATTGCTCACGTAGAGCAGGCAGATTTAAAACAAGCGGGCCTCACCAGATGTGCAAAGCAGGGCCGACAATGAATAGTCCAATGGCAGCGAAGCCTCCCAGCCGTCGGACATCAATGGATGGGTTCTTTTCCACCACAAGCTGGAAACAGGGAGATGAGAATCGCAAAAACGGGGAAAATCGCAAATTCCTTTCTTATAGCATTCTGCATGAAAAGCGCGTGAAATGCATGTCAGACATGTGAAAACAAGCGCGTTCATCAGTCATGTGAAAGCGGAGCATCTCAACGAGGCAAGTGAGCCACGACACGACCGTTTTTCAAGAAAGAGGGCGCATCCTTTAGACATACCTGGCAAAAAAGGTCTGCAAGTGCGTTCAACAGGCCGGCTGTGATCCCCTTTGTCACAAACGGTCGTGACTCTAGCGATGCCATGTAGCTGACGCCAGGGGAGAAGAGAAGGGGAAAAGTGGGGAGGGCGGCAAGGGGGGAAAGGGAGGGAGTGAGGGGGAGCGGGCGGGTGGGGAGAGAAAGGTAGGTGACGACAGCACTCAAAGCACGGTAGATTTCATCCTGTCGCGCGATCACGTCCACGAAGCTCACGAACCAATCGCATTTTGAAAATTTCGCTTACCTCAGGGCCAGCAATTGAAGACCTGAAGGGGGAACTCCGCTGTTGCTCGCGTCACCACCGCTTCCGCCGCTACCGCCTCCCCCTCCTCCTCCTCCTCCTCCGCCTTTGCTTCCCCCAGAGCCCGTATTTCCTCCGCCAGCCTGTGCTTTGACATCGACGGATCGTTTGCTGCTTGAATTATTAACAGTAAATAGTCTAATTTCTTTGCCTGAACGCAATGTTTCGTCGCTCGCACCACCCGCGCGACGGAGCGAAGAGCGAATGCCTGCCAGAGGGCTTTGCGAATGCTCCGAACGCGCGAACGTGCGAATGCTTGCGACACTGAGATTCACGCGTCCACGTACGGCCGGCGACAGGCTTGCGACTGCATAGGTTGAACCGGTGGAGCTCGCGGGAGTCAGGACCCGCATCCCTGGGAGGGACGAGGAGACGCCGCGAGAAGCCATGGCGTGAGAGATGGCACGAAATGCTTTCATGCGACCAGATTTCGAAGCACGTACATGTGCTTGCGAACTGTGAGAGGCATGGAGATTTGGCTGGAGGATGGAGAGATGGACAAGGCTTTGATGAGTCTGTTGTGGCATATCCGTTGCATTCCAAAGAAAGCTGCACATCATGTAAGCCTGAAGATATGTAGCCATACACACTCTATATATAGGACAGACGATAAAAGTTGCATCCTAACCATTAAATACACTAAGCGGGAATTGACCAAGCTGGAACAGAGACAAATCATTAGTAGCACGCACCACAAAATAATATTGGAATACTACAGCCTTTTGGACACTACTTCTGAATGCCTTGCTGCATGTACTGGATCAAATCATATCCAGCAGTCGTCCATTTGTTGTACGCATCCACGCAAGTGGCAATCATGAAGCTTGCCGCCTCCCGCTCGCCCATCTCCGGGTGGAACCGCTTCCTCAGGTTGCCAACAGCATCGCCGCGTGAGAAGCAGGGCAGGCCGCAGGCAATAGCTGTGGCGGAGATTGGTCTGTCGGTGAACACAGGAGAGGTGGAGTGAGGCCAGTGGAAGACAGAAGACTAAGAACCTGGCGAAGGACCAAGTCAGGAGGCGGCAGGGATGGCTGCGGCTGCGGGTTGGGAAGGCACGGCGGGGTAGGCGAGCGCGGGAGGGAGGGCAGGGACCTGGGAAGGCCAGAGACAAGGAGACGGGAGTGCATACCGCGGAGACGCGGCAGGGAGGGGTGAACGAGGCGGTGGTGCCAGAGGAGAGTCTGGTGGGAGAGTACCCTACACGAGCAAGACACTGCAAGCTGACCAGACGCAGATACCTGACTCACAGCAGCCACTTGACCTGCCTCAGCCACCTGTGCAGACGCAATGGTTAGTGTGTACAGACTAGACCCTGTCCGTCGACTGAACGTAGCAAGGTGACGGCCAGTCCGGGAGCACGTACAGATTGCCACACACTGCCCTCCAAGAATAAAGGTATCAACCCAGACATCCTAAACGGCAGCGTTGCTCACCAAGTTCATCGAGAATGTGGGGAGGTGGAGACCTGACAGAGAACCGGAGGGGACTGCTGGACACGGGAGGACAGTGGAGGCTCATGCGACTACTGGGCCCCCAGTGGGGTCAGCCAGTGAGACCGGTACCGGTGCAGCAAGTGGTGTGAGTGTGGTGCAGTCACGAAAGAAGCAATGTGACGCGCATGAGTCAAGTGTGAAAGTGTGCAAGGCCTCAGATGAGGAAGGACCTGTGGCGGGAGACGCACGAGCACCTAAAGCTGCAGCAGACCCACTAGCACCTAGTGCCGCAGCAGGCTCACTAGCACTTAGTGTGGCAGCAGACTCACTAGCACCTAGTGCAGCAGCCTCGACAGAACCAGTGACACATCGCTGAGGAAACAACTCACTAAGCACATGAGGGGAGAAGGTCTCCTGCTGATTCTGCTGCCGCCTCTGTGCAGTACGTAGAAAACCAAAGCCTCCACCACCTGGACGGACTCTCTGAAGAACCCACTCGCGAAGTTGCTGAGGGGTGGGGTCGTCCGGGAGAGGCAGTGACCGCTGTCAAAATGTTATAGTGCTTACATTGTGTAGGTTGTAGGGGTAGCCCATTTGGGGTACAACCCAATTAGAGTTAGTACATGTACCCAACTCTTTCATAGTTCATTCATTCTCGTTCAGTATTCTGACATGCTTTCAGAGCAGATCCTGTTCCAGGACTGTTTTCTTTAGGGCCCACCGAATCGCGCTGCCCCACTAGTCGCGCTGACCTGCCCTGCCCTGCCTTGCCTGTCGCGCCGCCCTGCTGGCCGCCGCGCCGCCCTTTGCAGCCCGCCATGCCACCCTTTGCAGCCTGCGCGCCGCCCTTTGCAGCCCACCGCGCCGCCCTTTGCAGCCCGCGCGTCGCCCTTCTGCAGCCCGCGGCGCAGCCCCTTGCAGCCCGCGCGCCGCCCTTTGCACCCGCGCGCCGCCCTGCTGCTTGCGTTGCCCGGCTGCTGCCCGCCTTGCTGCGCGCAGCCCTGCTGGCCGGCGCCCTCTTGCCCGCGCCGCCCTGCTACTGCCCGCACAACCCTGCTGGCCGGCGCCCTGCTGCCCACACAGCCCTGCTGCGCGCCGCCCTGCTGCGCGCGCCGCCTTGCTGCTGCCCGCCCTGCTGAGCGCCGCCCTGCTGGCCGACGCCCTTCTGCCCGCGCGCCGTCCTGCTGCCCGCGTGCCGCCATGTTGGCAGTCGCACCGCCCTGCCCTTCCCTGCGCGCTCCTCTAGTGCTCTTATGCTCGCGCACCGCCCTACCTGCGTGCCGCCCTGCTGGTCGCGCGCCACCCTGCTGGTCGCGCGCCACCCTGCTCAGCCCGCTATGGCTTCTCTCAGTGTACTCACCTTCGATCATGAGGGCCGTCCGATCCAGTTTGATACGTTGCTCGACGACTTAAAACTGTACCTCCTGAGCTATTCTAGAGACAGTTTTTCGTTGTTTGACCATACGTCTGGAGCCTCTCTCGCTCCTCCTGCCACAGCTGACAGTGCGACTCACTCACAGTGGCTTACCCGTGACGCTGCAGCTCGCTTAGCTGTTCGCAACCACCTGCCGTTAGCCGAACGCGCTCACTTTGGCCAGCACAAGTCTACCAAAGCCCTGTACGACGCTGTATTCGCTCGTTACTCTTCCCCTGACATTGCTGCTCTCGGCCGCCTTATACTGCCCTACCTGTTTCCCGAGCTGTCAGCCTTTGCCACGGTCGAGCACCTCGTTATCCACCTCCACACTAGCGACGCTTGCTACCGCGCTGCCCTCCCAGCTGAGTTCCTAGACAGGAACCCGTCCCCGATGTACATGACTCTCTACTTCATAGTCACCCGCCTCCCTGACTCTCTTCGCGCAGTCAGGGACCACTTTCTCGCACTTGACCCCACAGACCTCATTGTCGACCTGCTCGAGAAGCACCACCTTGCAGCTGAGACTAGCTTAGTCTCTGTAGGTGCTGCTCGTGGCACTCCTCGCACACCCTTCTTTGAGGGGTGTTCCCCCTCCTCCCTTGCCCCCTCGTACGCTTTTGCTGCTGCTGTTGACATCCTTGGTACTGAGGACGTCAGGGCTGCTTCTGCTTCTAGTAGGAAGTGCCGCAACGGCAAGGGCAAGGGAGGCAAGAGTGGTGGAGGTGGCAGCGGGGGTGGTGGTGGTGGAGGCGGTGGAGGTGGTGGGGGTGACGGTGGGAGTGGTGGCGGGAGTGGGGGCTTCGGTGGCGGTGGTGGTGGCAACAGTGGGAGTGGTGGTGGCGGTGGTGGCGGCAGTGGGAGTGGTGGCGGCGGCAATGGTGGCGGTCGGGGTGGAGCTGTTCAGAGGGGAGGTTCTGGCAATGACCACAGGCAGCAGCAGCAGCGTCCGAGCGAGACCCCTATACCCCAGCAGCTTTGTGAGTGGTTTGCTCAGCGTGGGGCGTTTAGGGGTAGTGTTCGCCCCATGCCGCCCGACCCAGGTATAAAGGCTGCTGCTCTAGGTGCTAGTGAGTCTGCTCTCCCTGGTACTGCGCCTGCTAAGGCCTTGCACACCTTTACGCTTGACTCAGATGCTTCCCGCTGTTTCTTTCACGACAGTACCACCCTCACTCCACTCCATGCAACTGTTCCGGTCAGACTGGCTGACCCCTCAAGGGGCCCAGTTCTTGCCCGTTCCTCCACTGTTCTCCCCTGTCTGGCGGTTCCGTCCGGCTCACTCTCAGGTCTTCACCTCCCCTCATTCTCTACGAACTTGGTGAGTACCACTGGCCTCCAGGATGGGATGGTCACTACCACCACTCCTGGGGGTCAGTGTCTGTCGATCTACTCGTGTACACGGACGGGCCGTCACATGGCCACGTTCACCCGTCGGCCTGGGTCGAGTCTGTACACACTGACTACCGAGCCTCCTCAGGTAGCTGCGTCTGCTCAGGTGTCCGCGTCAGGTCCGGTAGCACCCCCCTGCTCGTGTCGCCTGCTGTCGTACCAGAGTCTCCTGTAGACCCCCTCCACCCTCAGGGTCCTGCTCCCTCATGTGTGTCTCAGGTAGACCCACTCCCCGGGACTGTGCCTGACGATGTCGCTGTAGACTCAGGTGCTGCTAGAGGTGCTGCGTTTGGGGGTGGTGCGTTTGGGGGTGGTGCGTTTGGGGGTGCTGAGCCTGCGAGTGCGGAGCCTGGGGGTGCTGAGTCTGAGGGTGCGGAGTCTGGGGGTGCTGAGCCTGGGGGTGCGGAGCCTGGGGTTACTGAGCCTAAGGGTGCGGAGCCTGGGGGTGCTGAGTCTGAGGGTGCGGAGTCTGGGGTGCTGAGCCTCGGGGTACTACGTCTGCTAGAGG